ATCAGCAATAAAACTGCTATGAATTATAAGTCAATAATCATTCTACTAATAAATTTTACATTAAAAAACAATTTTATTGCAAAACAAAGTATTGGGATACTTACCAATTCTAACAATGTAGGTTTACGAGTCTTTACTAATATCTACTTAGCAGATGGGTACCTACTTACGAAGCAATAGCTTTGACTGTAATAGACGTGAATCTACCTAACTAGATACTACCTATCTACGTCACAAGCAAACTGTATTTTTTGTCCGAAAACAATGGGCGTTTTGGTTCAACAATATGCTCCACCCACCAAGCTCTGAATGGCCAATGCGAAAAACACACAAATCACGGAAAATTACGAGAACAAACGAAAATGTTTACCACCTTAATAACTTTAAAATACACCATTCCATCATATTTTTGTTTAAGATTACGATCTTGTTTTTGTCGTGATTATTAGAGGACGTCCTTTGGAGAAGATTTAAGAAAAACAAGTTTAAAGATAAACGAAAACATAACATAATTGCTGAGCACCTAATATAAAATTGGTGTATCTTGGCTACAGTTCTCACGACCGAAGATGACATGTTGGAAAACATTGGAGCAGTGCACCGCTGAACATTTCCCACACTCTGCATATCTCTGCACCATAGATCAACTTGGCAGAATGTAAAAACGTAGACAATGATTCAATTGTGTGCACACAGATTTCTCACAGCCAGCATAGATATAATCGTCATACGGTTAATTGGTGAAGGTAAATGACCAACCGATGTTCCGGTTCAAACGGTGCCAAAAAGGATCCTGATTAGGGAAAACCTGTCGTGTAGTTTCCCCTGATTAGTGATTATCGAGCAGGATGTGTTAGCCCTGTTCTTTCAACACAATGACATTTTTTGCAGCTTCATGAATGAATAGTTACGTGCATGTGCTGTATAACGTCATAATTTCTTGTGCACGTCACCGATTGGGAAATAATGTTAGCAGTCACGCGACGCACAGCCTGTGCGGCCTGAGCCAACGGAGGCTACGGAAAGAAACGTAACACTTTGTACGCGTATATTATGGATAGCTAAAGATTAGCTTCTCATCATGACGAATAAATGTACTTAGTGATTTTAATGAACAAAACTTTTATTTATTGTTATTAGTTATTAATACCAACTTTTCAGTTCTTGTTATAGTAATTCAACGTATTTTTTACCTTCAAGGTTTACGATGTCGATACATTAATATTTCTTGTAAATTATTATAAAAATTAAAGAAACTAACTATAAAAGTAATTAATTCTAGAAGACAATAATAATAATTAGGTAGATAATTGAATTACAGAGATCCTGCACTAACTCATGATATGATAGAGATAACTTGTAGTTGATAAGTTCGCGTCTGTATTATAGAACAGTGGCAATTAAGACACGGAAACAGGACATGGGTAAACCCAGTGATTATTCGAACAGTATCCATCATTACGGTTATGTCATCAGTTTTCTTGATTTTCCAAGTGTTCGAGCGACACGATCAAGAAAATAATAATCTCTTACGTAGACCGGCGTCACTCATTGCATGAATGTAATTACACTATGAATACTTAGAATTAAATTCCCATCAACACCATCGCAATGTATGACGGCGTTCTGTGACGTGCTCACAGTCTAATGTATGACTCCGGACCTCAGACAAGCCCCAGAGATCGGAGATCAATTGACTCAATTATGTTCCAATTTATATTGTGACAGTCGAACTTCCCAGAGCGAGCACATGTCATAAATATTAGCCAGTTTATTGCCGTGAATCTCGGCAGCGAACAATGGCGGAATGGGTATAAACTTGTGATAATTATCTGAGGTCAAACCCAGCGTTGCGGAACGGTATGTAGGGGAAGACACTTGTTATTATCATGTGAAGACTTTTTGAAGACGTTCCCACAGACTTCGGCCGAGGCACTGATTCCTCGATTAACACTGATTCATAAGCAGATAATTACACTTGACCCCTCGTTTATAATTAAAACAATGAGAAATAAACCAATGAGATCCGCTTTGCGCAAAACAGTTCGACTGTGAGAAATGTATTTTAATTATTCTAGAATGTTGCTTTTGTATCTTAATCATGTGGGGTGGAATTAATGAAAAACGTCGTTAATTAAATTCAGTTTTTATTAAAAAATATTTATTCATATTTCAGAATCACTGCTCCTTTATCATTTGTTGTACACGCTTTGTACAGTTTGTACACCCGGCTCGCAATGTCGCACCCGAGCAGTAACCGCTTAAATATGACCATTTCCAAATATAGAAATACCAAATGTAAAATGATAAAAAGGAGTAAACAGTTTTTAAATGACAAATCATTTACTTATCGTTTTACAAAATTGACGACATTGTTACTGTCTATTCATCGCGTTTAATACTAATTTCCTTGTAATACTGTAACTTTACCAATTCCATAAGATTATATCGTAATTCAATGTTTTGCTACAAAAATATTGATATTTTTTGTACTTCTTATTACACTTTCCACATGGAATGTTCGAAATCACACGTTTTTATTAAAAATACACATCAAATCCGTTTTCATAAAACAATACATTTCTCGCAAGAAATTATATTGGCATAAAATAAATAGAATTTGTAAAATTTATAATTTCATTTTGTTATCATTTAATTATTTGAGAGGTCTGCACATCGAGCGCGACGTGCGGGGACATCGTGTGTGCGACGTGTTTTACACAACAAATAATAAAACAATCTGTGTCCGACTCGCGTCGCATCGCGTCCGATGTGCAGAGCTCATGCAGTGCTATGGACTAACGCTAGCTACTAAACTACATGTATTGTTCGTTTAAAATCTCCGTAAATATACATACGTACAACGACACACTCGGTGTCTTTAATGGATTTTATTATAATCGTCAACCAAGTGTAGTTGATTAGATAAATTGTGCATACACATTGAGACCGATTGACTTGCGGGCACAAAAGCAAACATAGTCGGTACGTAAACAACTAAAGCAATGTAAAGAAACAAATACTTCACCAAGTATTCTGAGATAAAAGGACTTATTTGGCTCTTTTCTAACTCAATTTGTAACTAACTAATCATCTAGGATATCTACTTAATTTATACAAACCAATTACATTAAAATCACTCTTAAAATAAATCTCGTAGAGTTCATTTTCCTTTACCCAAACAAACGTAAACTTATATAAAGTTAGAATAGTATTATAGTATAAACGCAATGACTTGTCATGGATATTACAACTATTTGGCCCCAAAGAAACAAATCTAAGAGCAGAGAGATCTCTTTATATGACGATGACAATGAACGAACTATTAATATTGGTGTACATTAAATGCCGGAGTAGGAACTACCTCCCTGTTTACCTATCAGAACATTTTACAAACAATGCTTCGACGAGCTCTGTTGGCAATTATTGCGAGTAATTTAAAACTAGTTGTGCATACCAAAAGCGTTTTTTAATGGCGAGTAAAATTGGTAAGAAATGTGAAATCATTATTAGGACTAGGAATTAAGAAGGTAGTAAAATATTCTATATAATATATATCGACGTAGTGGACAGTGCTTATAGTTAACTGGTTGAAATAAGCGCAAGAACCCCTGAGTATCAAATCAATATGTGAGAAAAATGTTTCTATTGACTGTACCTCATCAAATCTTCACTTTACGCAAATTAGGCCAGACCCTATTAGACTCTTATTTTATTGTTCAAAAAATAAGATTTTTTTTCATTCTTAATCTTTTTTCACGCACAGCGTAAATATAAAATGCAAAATCTTCTACTTCATTCAAAAGCAATGTACTACATTGCTCAGAAAAAGTGGACCTCGTCAATATTATGGAGAAGAAATAAAAACCTGAGACAGACAGCCATTAATCAGCGATATTATGAACATGTATCGCAGGTAACATCGCAGTTATTGATTTTATAACAAGAGTTATTGGCCCAGTTTCAGCCCGCTAACCGTGTGACAACAGGAATAATTGATACAGCGGAATAGATTACATATTCATACGTACAGCTCTACTTGTCTATCAGTCCTATACCAGTTTGTAACACTTTCAAATAAATCCTTAAAAATAACATAAAAATAATTTCCATAGCTGCAACCAATCAATTGTCACGTCTCAAAACACAGTAGAGCCTACTCAGTATTTATCACAAATTCTTCTATTTTATATTTTCTTGTCACAACTTGCTTTTATTGCTGAATTTTAACCTTAATCATAGTTTTGGTGTAATAATCTCGTAGATATACAAACATATAGTTTTACGATATATTTAGGCACACGTCGTTCGTGTTGACATAGTATTCTGCGGCGCCTTGCGGTCTAAGCTCTCAAGCAAAGCGATCGCCTCGCAAAGTGGCACTTTCATTAATAATAAAGCTTTCTATACTCTATAGACCGTAACATGATCTGTTAAACTTAGCTCTCAAAGAGTTCTGATACCCAGTATTAGGGCCACATCTCCACAAGAGAGACCTGTACAGTGTACCGAGTGTACGTAAATCCACGTGCGCTTCTGTCATCATGCAATCAGTCGCAAAAGTAAAATCGTTAAATATTGCACAATCTAATGAGCTACATATTTTCTATTGTACATTCCCCCTCCTGGAGACACCGCCTCAATAAGCAGGTCGAGTCACTGACGCAACATGCTTGCGCGAATAAAATATTTACGCCATTTCTAACAGCATACATTTCATTTGAACGACTTAAAATACAATTTTCAAAAATATTACCCGTCCATTCAGTGTGCAGCACAAACCTCGCCAGAGATCATGCTATGATGAATAGACATTAGGCACTATCGAAATTATACATTAGGTATGTCTTTGAATCACTCACCAAATGTCTTTCGTGCGAAAGTCACTTGTCCGTTGTACGAGACGGCTCGCTTCTTTGGAGTCACATAACACAGTTTTAGAGTTGCCACGAGTGAGTTTATAACTGCAGGCTGTCGTCGTCCAGCCTGCAGTCCATGGGCTATTGCAGCGTGTTGTCGGGCAGGCGGTGCGCGCCGTGCTCGTGGTGCCAGGCCGGCGCCGCGTCCGGCCGCATCACGTCGTCCACCGGCGCGCACACGGGCCGCGGGCCCGGCTCCGGCGTGTACGTGAACGTCAGACCCGTCGCGTATATTATGCCGTCGTTCCTCACCAGCGACACCGGCACCTGAAGCGGACAAGAATACTATTCAATTGCATTATGTATTTAATTCTCGGTGTGATACTAGCGAGGGCTGAGACATGTTTCCATAGCTTTATACATAGAAGCATTGTCGATAGACCAATAATAAAATCACTAGTTATAGACATAGCAGTTATTGGCTAATAATATCGAACTATAATCAACGAAAATGCTTCCCTGTCTACGATATACACCTATTATACCAGTACTAAGGTGCCGAGCCATTTATTTCCAGTGACACATAAATTATGCAAGCTCCTATCAAAGGCAGACCGTATTATTATATCGATCTACTACACTGCTAGAGGGTTGCAATTCTAAGAAATAAAATGTTACAAACTAGAATTCCTATTTATATGAATGTTGCGTTTCGTGTGAAACGTATTACAAATTAATATTACGAATTCAGTTTTAATTGATAACTAGCCGACCAATTAATACTTAAACTGGACTTAACTTCTAATCGTTTGTACCACTCGACCTGGAATTTGAGTTAAACTGTCAAACACCAAGTGATCACCGGTGACCGCAACCTATTGTTCTTTAATTGTGTCTATAATGGCGGTACTCAACGAGTTAAATCTCGGAAGATTTTCAGTTTTTTTAATTCATAACTGCATGTTTTTATCCTCTTTTACAATAGGGTTTCAATTAGTAGCCCACCTTCTGAATATTTGGTCTTGTTATGTTGACTTGTTAATTGTCATAGTCTGATAGTTTTGCTTTCTGTTCTGATGTTTCTAGCATATTATTTGATAGTATAGAACTTTCTCAACAAGTTTAATAAAAAAAAATACAATTCTATTATAGTCATAAGCCAGACTACAGCTTAGCGATAAAACAACAATCTCTTCAGCTTCAATATAAATATAGAAGCTAGCCACATGCAGCCCACCAGATGTTCTAGTTTAATAGACTTAGAACAATCGTCCTCAGCTAATTGTACGCATTAATAACTTTGTTATTGTTTGTATATTGTGTCGATTGTTTTCAAATCACTCATAGACACAGGTGCGTCCTTTCGGCGACATATCATAACAGTTGTATTTTGAAAATGCTGGCGGCCGAGTTCTCACGACAAAATTTATTTAAAGCGTCCAACTATTAAGCGGTGTGATCGCGACGCTCACTTCCTGACAACGGAGATTATGTGAATAGGGACCCGTTAAATTGTACGTAATAAAAGATATACATTTGTTTCGTAGTGCCCGTTCAATGCCTGTATTAGTGTGAGAACAGGAGATTTGCAAAAAATATTAAAAATACAGTTTCCGACTCGCTACTTTATAGCGTTATTAGTTAAATAACTAGCCCTTATCTTTAGTCGAGCGAGTTAATGTTAATAATACATGTGACTAGAAGGACTCGAATAGAATTAAGCAAATGTGGTAAAAACAGATTTGCCTTCTATTCACACAATGCGACAGCAGCACCATTGGTGCGGCACAAATCGAAAAATTGACCACCAATTAAAGCTTAAATTCCTAAAATGAAGTTACCTGCGTCGGCTGTCGGACCCAGAGCCATTGTCCTCGGAACTGTGAGATGTCAGGTACGACACAGAGCATGGACTCAGCACAGCGGTACATAGTCTCCGCCTCGACGTCACCGAACCACACTTGTAAAGATGGCGTGAAGTTATCACCAGCCAACTCCAACATTGCTACGTCACCGCCACCATTGAGGTTTAGTGAGTGGACTAGCGGCACTGGAGTTACGGGAGACCTGGATGGAAAGAATTTGATTGTTATTTGTCAGTTCAACAAAAACATAGGGTACCAAAAGTAAAATTGTTTAGAGCTGTTAAAAGTTCTGGTGGCGTGTTTCATAAATAAAACTTTTTCAAAATAGATAAACCCTTTATGTGGACTTTTAAATTTACCAAACGGCGACTTTTTGGTTAAAACTTTTTAGGAATAAAGTTTGTTTTGTGAATTCCTATTTATCGCATTTGCTTGTGTATTTTACTAATACTAGAAGTCTTAAAAATGTTCGGGAAATAAAGTCTTAAGTTACCGCAAAGAAGCTACCATTTGCAGATTTGAATAAATATAACATAATAAAGAAAAATATTTGAAATCGTACAGTGTTCGGGACAAAAGCGTTAATAAAAAACACTTCGGCCATCAACAAACACCATGTCAGAGGTCCCCTAGACGCGACTAATAAAATCAATCAGCTAAATCTGTGGTCTCCGAGCGAAATAAAATCGGCACAAGGGAACAATATAGCCATTACTACATCAATATGTTTTTGGATTGCAACTCACATAGGGTGCAACTAAAATGCTGGGGTGGCGAAACGAGTTTAGGGGTGACCTCTCTGCATCGAGTTACTTATTTGGATCTTTTTAAATGGTAATTTAATATTGTCTGCCATTAGAATATTGTAGACCACGTCTCCATATTTAAAAAATATTTGTTTTGTGACAAACTATTAGGTTTTATTTATGCAAATTTCGTTTCCCTGAAGTCGAGTCGAGTCCATCGATTTATGTTCCGAGTAAGGAACGATAGCTAACAATTCACTGCCTTGTAAGTACTCACAAGAGAATTATTGATTAGCCGACCTAGTTGTTGCAAACATAATGTTACTTAGAACTTTAAATTCTTGGTTCGTGCAAAAATATTTTATTATGTCTTCTATTAAGAAAGAAAAAGCTGTAGGATTTGTGTCGGATTCCCATTACATGAGACTAATATAAATCTAGATTATGTAGTGTACTGTAGGTCACGTCTCCCCTTAGGGGACAACAGACGTAATGTTATGTTAGGTTCAAACCATTTGTCGCCACACTTAGCCAGTTAGACAACGACGTCAAACCAATCACTTATGTTAGTGTGACAGCTACTAAGTTCCCAGGGTATACATTACGTGTTATGATGAGCGTGCGAATTTTCACTATGTTTTCTTTCATATGATGCTATAAATATTGCTACGAACAGTGTTGGTACCTAATTTAAAACAGGTTTTCACAACACAGTGTGGAAAAATATTGATTATGTTTGGGGAAGATGTTCCCAGGGCGTCAAAATTTCAATGTTATTATTAACGTGTGAATTTCCTTTGTTTTCTTTTGTTTGATGGTAGTTATCAGAGGTAAACTAGTGCCGTCGGATGCGGTGGTGAAGGTCTACGTGTCATGGTAGCATTCGTGCTTTGCATATCGTTAGAGTCCCATAGTGCTATGTATATTAGAATGATACACAAAAATGATATAAATTGTAATGTTAAGTGTGTTTACATTTACCAACCTATTCGTTAATCGCAGGGCTATTAGTTATCTCTATTTCATAGATAATAAATAGTAACAATGAATTTTATATCGACAAAATTCAGTTTCTAGGTAGTTAAAAAGATTTTATAAATAAATATCCTGCCTGGGAACTTGGAAAAAATAGGTATTATAAATACAATTGTATAAAATACAGGAAGTGATCAAATTATGTGGTCCCCTAAATATAAGTTTTATCATTTTTGTGGTTAATCATATCTTTAGTTTCCACGCATAAAAAATATAAAACATTTTAACCACAACCAACAAAGTTCGTTAATTTCGAACTATATTTTTTAATTATTATTTATTTTTAATATTTCTAACACAGTCTCAACTTTTCATCAACTACATTTAGCCTTAAAAAAATTGTTTTTTAAATTAAATTTGGCCTTACAAATAATGTAATAATTTATAGCACATACCTTACAGGTCCCATGCCCTCATAAAATTGATATTCAGCTTTATCAGTGGATATTATGGTCCAACAAGCTCCATCATTGATCATCTCCTTATTAGGTTCCTTAGGGCATGGTGTGGCTTGAAATTGTATTATTCTCTCTTGTGACAGACACAAATACATGCGTTCCGTGTCCTTCATATAAAATGCACATTTATGCAGTTGGGATACTGGGTCATCTGCTTCTAATAAGGCCATTTGCTTATCCACCTGTTGGATTAAAAACTTTTTAGACTAATTTAGAAGAAAAAATTATCTTTTTTATTGGAAGAGAATTCTACTTATGAATTACTTATGATGTTTTACTTAGTTATTACTTTCCATGAGTATCTGTTATTTTGTGTTGTACGTTATAGAAATTTGGTTTTCTAGGTAATTTAAACGAGGCTTTATTTTAGTTACATAATTATGTGAAAGATGATTAGTTTTTGAAGGTCGATGTGTTAAAGGCTTTTTTTGTCTGTCGCTTATAATAGAAAATACATTGTGCGTCTCCTAAATATTGTATTTATTAATTTTCATTTAGAAAAACATATTAAAGCACAGTCAAGATCAAGGTCCATACATCAAACCAACATTATGTTTTATCAATATGTTGTTGGTATGATTAATTTACATTACAATCTTTATTAACTAATAATATCATCATGATTTGTTACTTATGTGGAATTTTTATAATAGCAATAAAAATAATTATGATTTATTAAATGTTGTTGATAGAATTATTTTGATACAATTACCAAACACTACAGCAGAATGATGCATAAGGGTGATTTTTCAGCAACCAAAGGAAACTATAATAACAACTTAAAATTGACTCTAAACAACTTAACATAGGTATGCTAACAACTTGTATAATATGGAATAATTTGTCAAGGTGTTTATAAAAAAATATTTTAAACTGGAGATAAAAAAAGAAGCAGAATATTATAAGAATATCAGAAACAGTGACCATACCTTTCTAATTATTAATCTGGGTAATGCCATGCCTGTTACAGAGCATACTAGCTTCACAGTAGATCCATAGTGAACATATCCATCTCTCACAGCAAACTCTTCAGACTCACTCTCATTGTCATCCAGCAGGTGTATTGTGAATGCTCCCCACTGTGTGGAGGATGCATGGAAGTTACCATTCTCCACATGCAGATACCTCGTTGATACTGTTTGTGACCTCAACCTATTAAACAGAGCTACCTTTGTTCCACTTGCAATGCACAAGTCTGCATTCTTTAGGGATTGTTTCTTTTTTGACGGTTTTGATATTACTTTTATCCTCTTGCTATTAAAAATACCGATGTCATGCCCATTACCATAAAACATCTTCACCGACAGCATAAAATGCTTTCTCTTATCAGAATCAGATATGTACAGGGTCTTGGCAGCACAGTACTGTTTGCCATTGTTGAGGTCCAGCTGCTGCATGTCCTGGTCAGAGTTACCAATGCCAATAAATGCACACAGCTGTGCTGCCTGCTCAGTCTCTCCCTCTCGAAGCATGCGCTCACGCCGCAGTCGCCAACCATCTCCAAACAGATAGATACATGGTGGCGGACAGAAGAACCTTTTCTCGTTTCCATAAGATTTCTGAGCTACCTTCGCGTGTAGGATAACTACGACCATGTCGGAACGGTCGCGGAGATAGCGTTCCATGGCTTCACGAGTAAGACGACGTTCTTCTGGACGGTAGGCACCGGCGCCAGGACCTGCTGCGCCGCCATATCGCGGGAATAGCGCCGCGTGCTGCGCAGGCGGCGAGGCGCCGCCCGCCAGCGCACCCGCGCCCGCGCCCGCCCCGCCGAACTGGTGCGGCATGCTCGCCACGGCTGCCTTCACCTTGCTGCCGCCCGCATAGCGCGCACCCGACTGAGGGTCGCGCAGTGTGATGCTCTTGTTTCCCTAGCTAGTGTCCCTTCTCCGGTGGAACATCGCCGGCAGTTCAGTACTCGGTTCGAGCGTCCTACCTGGTTCTTGACCGGAGGGCGAGCGCCCACCGAGTAGGTTTAGCAGAGACGCCGTGTCCCCCGGGACCGATTATCTCAGCGATCGATACACTTTTGTATTATTCACGCCCCCCGTCAGTTAATTACGCTGGGAACTGGCACACATTTCGTTCGAGACACCTGTTCGACGATGGTATTTTCAGACGGGATGGGGTGCCGTTACTTCGAATGTCACTCGCGACTGGGGGACGCTGGTCCTCGTCCTCAACCCAGCAGTTTCCGATTTATGATTTTATTTTATTAAAAGTTGACGAAACTTCTGTTTATTCGAGTATAAATACGACAACGCCAGATGCGCGAGCTGTCAAAGTTTGACCATAGACACGGAGCTATTTGCAGGCGTGTTGTCGACTACACGCGCGCGAATCGACAGAATCGAGTCGAGTCGATGAGGGATCGGTCGACCTGCGACGCGCGACTGACAGTCGGCCGGTCATAGGATGTGGGGTTACGCATGGGGCGTGAGAAAATAAAGTGTGGGAAAGAGTGGGCGTTCGCGGCGTAGTAAAACATTTGATATGTTGTAGTGAACCGAACACATATTTACGAACGCAGTGCACCAGTAGCAATCGTTTCGTTTTGTAAATGTGTGCGTAGCCCTAGTGGGTACATTGAGCTCATGGAGCGAAATAGTTGCGATGTGTGAGGAAGAGACCGACGATTGACCGGAGATCTCGTGGGAAACGACCTTTGTTATGTACACTGATATATACATTAGTATAAACAAAAAATCTATTCTGGAATTTAATCGCACGCGATGGGAGTCACTGGACTGTGGAGGCTAATAGAGCCAGCCGGCAAACCCGTGCCGGTCGAGACTTTGGAAAACAAAGTGCTGGCAGTCGGTAAGATAGTGACCTAGTGCCAATCAAATAAGCTATTGCTAATTATTATGTTGGTCAGTTTAGCAAATTTTAGTTAATTAAACATGTTTTGACTTGTTTGTTTTTATCAGACATATCAATATGGTTGCATCAGATGGTAAAAGGATATCAAGATGCAAAAGGAGCTCCTATACCAAATGCTCATCTTATGGGACTGTTCCAACGTCTCTGCAAACTGTTATACTTTAGAATTAAACCAGTCTTTGTATTTGATGGAGCATTTCCAGAATTGAAAAAGGAAACTATTGTAAGTCTGATTTGGTGATTTCAAACTTTTGATTAATGTATTAAAACATGTTTTTGTTCTTTTTAAATAAGTAATTACATAAAATAAAAATTTTAGGCTAAGAGGCAAGACAGTAAAGCGAAGTATAACTCAGAATCTGAAAGAATAAAAAGAGAGCTTGCATTATTGTTGAGTAAGAAGACAGTGGTAAGCAGTATATTGGGCAAAGAAATAACACCACCAAAAAGTGGCCAAACATCTATAGACAAAGATGACATATTCAAATTGCCAGCATTACCACAAAAAGAAGATGAAAGTGAATCTGAGTGAGTTCTAGTAACATTAACTGTAACATTATTATTCAATTTGATAGCACATTTTGATTCAAGTAAAACTGATACCAAATAATATTTAAAACTTTGATTGCTACTAGTTGTTTGCCCCCATGAATCAAACTTTACCTTTTATTCCATGTTTCAGATCTGAAGATGAACAAAATTCAAGTGGGTCTAGTATTGATGTGCATTCGATAGACATACAGTCAGAAACTTTCAAAAATTTGGGAGTTAAAGAAAAGTATGATGTCCTTATAGAACTTAAGGAAACTAGGAAAATGAATTCGTGGGGCAGATTACATGAGTTGCCAAAGGAGAGCAACACATTTTCAGATTTTCAAGTAATTTTGTTTAATAATAGATGATTAGGTATATGAAAAAAAATATAAGATATAATGATTGTTTATAATTTATTACAGATGCAAAGACTATTAAAAAGAAGAAAAGTACAAGAATGTCTTGAGGAGACTGAGAAAGAAATGGGTGACACGGGCATGTCTTTAAATGATTTAGAATCTTTACTAAATGAAGAAGGCATTGATACTAAAATAGATACACTTCCCACAAAACGCATTGCTTCTAATGTTTCTACACGATTTTTACTTATCAGAGATGTTAAAAAAGCTTTAGCGGAAGCAAAGCAAAGAAATCAGGCTCAAAATAACCCCACTACAAGCAAAATTGAAGAAATCAATGAAAAAGATGAAGGTATTAAAGCAACAACAAGTAAAGATACTGAAATAACAGAAATTAAGGAAGAATCCCCCAAAAAACTTGATGAGTTAGAAGATGATTTACAAAAAGCAATCCAAATGTCCTTAGAGTGTGTTGATGAACCCAAACAAGATACAAGTGTAGTTTCTAAAACTGATGACTCATGGACATCTTGCATGACAGACACAGATTATTCTGATACTGATTCTGAAGAAGGTGATGGCTTTGAACAACCAGATATGACATGTGCTAAAGCTTACATCATGCAATATAGTGATTTCACACACCAAGCTATTGACAAAATTGTTACTGATAGACATAAAGGTAAAAGGAAGAAAAAAGTACCTAAAGTGGATGAGATATTAGATGAAATTAACAAAGAAAAGTCAATAATAGTTGATAATGTGCAACTCTCATCAGGTGATGAAGATGATGAAAGTCCTGTAATAATTAGTAGTAGCGAAGAAAATAATAAAATCACTGCCATTGCGGAGAGTACTTCATCTTCAGAAGATCAAGACACAGATAAATATTTAGATTCCACTCAAGCATCAGTAATTTGTGTTGAAAATCCAGTGCAAGAAGTCATAGATCTTGATTCTAGCATAGAGGAAGTAGAAAATATTAAACTGTTTTACCATCAGAAAATATAACACAGAAAGTAATTCCAGTGATGAAATTAAAGAAGTCGCGAATAGTGAAAATAAGTCTGAAAATGAATCTAGTGATAGTGATTTTGAAGAAGTACCTGAAGAGAATACTGAAGTTAAAAAACCTGTTGTAGAACTTACTTTAACTATGGGCAATGCACCTGACGATGATATATTTGCAGATATCTTTGAAAAACCGGAGCATCCTAAAGAAGATAAAAATAAAGCAATAAATGAAACTAAAGTTGATAATGAGGTGTTAACACCTAAAAGTATTTTAGTAGATAATGTATTTAAAGTACCTGAGGTTCCTGTACTTAGAACTAGTTCTAAAATTATTCCACAAACCAATTTAAATCCAGATAGTGAAAGTGAAAAGAATCCTGAAAAACCAAATGAAACAAATGTAGATAATGCAGCCAATACTGTAATTCAAGATAATGTAGAACCTGCTAAATCAAGTGAAAGTCCAGATGTAATTGTGGAACCAGAAAAACAAAACCATCTCATAAAAGCACCTAATCTACCTAAACAAACCTTAACTACAGAACAACTGACCTCCATGGTTGAAGATATACAAAATGAAGAACAAGATTTAATGCAAGAGAAGGGGAGATTAGATCGTATAGGACGAAATATTACTGAACAAATGACAAAGGAAGCTCAAGAACTACTTCAGATATTTGGCATTCCTTATATTGTTGCCCCAATGGAGGCTGAAGCACAATGTGCCTTCCTAGAAAGTGTGAATCTAACAGATGGAACAATAACTGACGACAGTGATATCTGGTTGTTTGGAGGTAGAACTGTGTATAAGAATTTCTTTAACCAAAAGAAACATGTTTTGCAGTTTTTAGCTGAGAGGATAGAAAAATCTTTTAGTGAGTACTTTAATTTTTGTTTCTCATTATGCTTAATTTTACACATCCATGTTCAAACTTAGAAACTTATGGCATAACAGCTATTCCATCTTTCAGATTTAAATAGGGAACAACTTATTCTGTTGGCATTGCTTGTGGGTAGTGATTACACAACGGGTTTGTCTGGTGTGGGCCCAGTTACGGCAATGGAGATTCTAGCATCATTCCCATTCAATAAAAGGCAATTGCTCAGTGAGGAGTCAAAGCAAGCTCGTTATGCCCAAATGGTGAAGGGATTAAAGAATTCAAACAATGGGTGAGGGCAGGCAAGAGAACTGACAACACTAGTTTGAAGAAAAAGCTTAAGAATGTTGCTCTTACGGAAGAATTTCCTAGTGTGCGGGTAAGTTACTTTTTATTAAGTTTTATCATAATTTCTGTAAACAATTTTCTTATTAATGTATGCATTATATTTCTAAGGTGGTTCAGGCTTACTTGGAACCTAACATAGAAAAAAGTGAGGACAAGTTCACTTGGGGCGAATTAGACATCACAATATTGCGAGATTATACAAAAGCTAAGTTTGGTTGGTCTCAAAACAAATTAGACGAAATTATCAAACCAGTTTTAAAACGAATTCAAGATCGTAAAACGCAAAGATCCGTGCAGGACTTCTTCAAGAGAAAAGTAGAATTCCAGTCATTAGAAGAACAAATGAGTAAAAGGGTTAAAGCCGCAGTACAAAAAATGGGCTCTGAAGGACCTCTTGCATTAGAAACTGAGAACGCTGATGCGAGTAATAAACCAGCAGCACCTAAAAGAAAATCCACGAAAAAAGATACCTCTAACAGTAAAAATAAAGCTGGACCATCGGCCTCGAAACAACGCAAAAATTGCGAAGAAGCAGCTGTCCTTTTAAATCAAGGTGTAAAAGTTGTAACACAGATCAAAGACGGTAAATCGGAGCTCGAAATAAAAATACATAAAACAGACCGTTTCCAAGAATTAATCCCACAAAGAGAGCAAGATAAAAGAGTTTATTAGAAAACAAAATGAAGGCAATCGAGTTATTCCGTAAAACTAAACTTGATCAAAAGAGGAAACAATTTAAACGCAAAGCATTGCAACCAAAAGAGAAGGCTGAGCTTTCTGAGAGTGATAGTGATTAATTTATCTTTTTATTTAATGTTATACAATAAAATTAAAGGCGTTTTTAAAATATTTTTTTTTATTTACAAACAACTGTTTCAATTAACTAAGCATAATTTTAAAATAATGATAAAATAAAATTACATTTAAATTAAATTGCATAATATGCATACGATACATGTGTTTTTAAACAATATATACTAAAATCATAATCTAATAGTGTCATCGTATGGATTTATAGTGTAATAGTTTCTTAATTATTTTAGGAATACGAAACTACCCAATACCTTTATAATTTAAATTTCGTCCACATTTTTATTCTACTCAAAATGTTCTAACACAACTTTAAACGATCACGCCGAAAATGTTAACTACATATTTTTATTGATAGAGAAACCTAATTCAATTATTTACGTTGAATATTCAGTTCCAATCATGCCACATCCACACGACAACACGGGAAAGGAAATCGATCTGAAATATTCATTATCCCTAATAATTTTATTTAAAAATGCTTAATCTCACTTATGTTTTAATTGCAATATACATGGTTAAAATATCATCGAATTCCTTACTCGTAAATCACATTATTTTACTATTCCTTGATATTGTATAGGGCACAGTTAAGTACTATATTAGTCAATTGTTTTAATCGGAGATAAATACACCAACTAGTGTTCTTGTGCAGGGTTGTAAATATTAGCTGATTTCAAATAATAAATAAATTAATATGTAGGTATAAATATAAGCTTCAATTTCCATTCACAGAAAAAAATACACAGCTAGCGACTAAAGGCTGCATACACATTGAAGAGGATTCTCACTTCTAGAAATAAAGTTGTTGCAACATAGTGCAGAGATTTCAGTCAATATGTATACGACCTAACATTCAAATTAAATCTAAATAATAAACAAAAGATTAAAACACGCACAGGGACTATCAATTTATTATATTAGCATTATAAAGTTTTATACAATTAATCACAATGTGTACAGCAGTCTCACTTGTCCCACTGCCACAGTACAGGCCGGCGGGCTGCCGGGCTGACGTGGACACGTGGCTCATCTCGACATCCATTGCAATAGTAGTCGTGTCCGTGATTCGATATTATTATTGTTAGTTAAAATCCCCTAGCATTGATCTCGTTGTCACTATTAGACCACCAGGCAATCAATACACAAGACATTTCATAAACAAATCGACTAGGCGGAAGGTTCTCACGCAACAAATAGCGCATTTTTCAGAAAAACAACGCTTTGGTGTAACAACTCGGCTTTATACATAACATAGGCGCCCACGACGGACTCGTCAATACCGCTGTACCAACACCCGATACTTAACCTAACGCCGCGTAAATTAATCGACTTTGACGACACTGTAGATTTTTCTGACGAACCAGAAGCAGGCCATGAATCCGATAGTGCCGGTGAGGAGGAAAAATAAGAAGACCATGATGAAGGTGTATCCGAAGTAGAGGAAGGTGGAGGCGGCGTCCTCTATGTTGAGTTTGGTGACGAAGTAGTGGCAGCAGTAGATGAACAAGTAGCCGGCCGTGGAGCCCGAGCTCAGGAAGGCGCGCCACCACCAGTGGTAGTCCTCCGCGCACAGGTGGAAGTAACACAACAGGATCGTCGTCTCCGAGCACGTGATCACCAGGATCACGAACACCAGGAACAGGAAACCGAACATGTAGTACATCTACAAACACAACCACAAGTTTTCTTCAATTTTTGGTAACTAACAAAATGGAATAAATAATACTGTATCTCGGCACATAACTTAGGCATCAAATCGAATTTAAATGTTAGAGCAACGTACCTGACTGGACCAAAGCGAGTTGAGAATAAAGAACAGCTGAATGAAGATACATCCAAATGGCAGTACACCTCCCATCACGATGCCGGGAACGGGTTGTGTGTATAATGACTGCTCCGGGATTTGTCGCGGGATCTGGTTCGTGCGCACTGGGTGGTCTAAGATCTGTAAAATGTAAATACAACAGTCACAAAAAGTCGTAGCTCGTGGTTATAGTTGGTCAAAAATGAACTCTATTCTTAAGTGAATAAAGGCTATTTTGTTTCTCTTTCCAACTTACCCTCTTCCTAAAACCGAAGTAAGCTCCGATGAAGGTGAGCGGTACAGAGACACCGAACCAGAGAGCGAGCAGAGCCACCAAGGTCGAGAAGGGGACGGCCGCGGATGAACCCTTGCCCCACAGCACCAAGTTCATTATGAAGAACAGAGAGAACACCACACTGGAATACAAAGAGAGGTTGAAATTATTAATCTAAACATTAATAACGTTGACCACAGTATGAAGTCGTCAATGAAGATTTTTAAACTCACCCAGGGCACACCATCGAGGTTAATAAAATATTGCTCTTCCACCTCCTGCCGCCGAAGCTCTTGTAGATCCTAGCGCTGACGTAACCAGCGGCAGCTCCGAGCAATACCCAGGCGACCAACGCACACGTCATCAGAGCACCGCGGTTAGCCGGGGACAAGAAACCCAGGCAAGCAAACGCTAGAGTCACCAAGGTCATGCCGAACACCTGGAAAAAATGATACGTTTAACTGTGTAACCTATGGCGTACTTGTATGACCGGGTATGACAAGAATGTGACGAAATATAAAGGTAAACAAGAATAAGTATGTACCAGGTGGCGCTCTCTTTCAGTTTACCCCCCATGGGAGAAAGGTGTAAGTCAATCATTGTTCTACTGAAAGAGAAGTTACGAAATCAAAAGTTCGAATATTATTTTTGGTCGACCTCTGAATCAAAGCCAAGAATCCATCCATAGCTATGTTTACTACTAAATATCAACCAAACAAAAACACAATCGTTTGAATAACAAATATCATGCAAAAGTGCGTGTCTTACGCGTATGGTAAATAAGCATAATCGTATTAATTATTTATCGGTAAAATATTGTATTCTTCACTTCCAAGGATGCCAATTAACACAGGATAACATATTAGTATCCTTTAGCTTCGAAGAAATCGATACCGAAACCAAAATATTGCGTAGCTCACGCTAAAAATATCGATTGTGACCACTTGACTTAAGAGGTCGTCTACTATTTAATTTATTTGAATTAGTACGGGTTGAGAGTACCTGAGATCCAGATCCGAGGAAGACGGCCAGCAGCATACCGCGCCGCGGAGGACGGAATACGTCACCGTGCACCAACTTCCAACCAAATTCTTCCTGCAATTTCAATAAACACAATATTTGAAGAAGTGAATTAAACACTGGAGTGAACATTAAACCCAAAGCCAAATCAAACACTAAAACAATCAACTGTGCAGTAGCTTACCTGTGCATCTTCACCACATTCCATTTGGTTGTACCTCGCAATATCTTTGTACAAAGTCCTCAATAAAATCATGGCAACCATACCACTGAGGAACAAGACTATCACCAAAGAGTTTAGAATGGAGAACCATTGTATGTTCGTTTGTGGCATAGACTCGAGGATATAGTCCCATCGTGAAGACCATTTGATAGTGTTATTCTTTTTAAAGGTAACACTGTAAGTGTATGTGATGTTGAAGACTTTGTCGGAATCTATTTCAGTTGGTATGAGTAGTTCAGCACCACGGGCAGAACAATCTGGTTTTAATGGGTTTGTGTGTCGAATGCTGGCTGGTTTCACCTGAAAACATGTACAAATTTTATGAAATACAATACGGTAATACGACATACTATAGATCATTGATCTCTACGCTTTTACTCTTTTTAATTTAAATTTCAAACGCAAGATGTCTTGTTGTGGTATGTCTTTTTTGTGAATTTTGAATTTTTGGGTAATCTAATCAAACTTCTATGGTACCTAAAACTTAGTACATGAAGTTCAAATTACCTTAGCAGATATAATTCGACCGCCATTTTCACCGAATGCAACGCCCCATTCCTCTTCACTACCACTGTGATACGTGATCTCTAAGTCTACATGGTTGAAAAGGTAGTAAGCGCCAATACGACTTGAATGGCCGTTCACAATCGGTGTACATGTGTCCTAGAACAAAATACATTCATGTTATTTTACTACTGTAAGTTATATGTTATAACATATAAAATAAACAGTTTCATGTTGTGAAATTGGATAATTTTATGACTAGCTTTGAGATTATTTCGTTTTTAATGTATGTATGTATTGACAACTATGTATGTATCTGGAAATGGGCCTCGGAATAGAAAATACAATTAGGTACATTGTAGAGGATTGGTCCAAATAACCTAAACATTCTACAATCAGACTTGTTGTTGGGTGCTAGAAAAGACCTTCGATAAGACTTGAAATTAATTACAATTTTGATCGTTAACTGAATAAATTGAATTTATAACGATCCTTTTTTATTGTTTTCATCTTTATCAATGCGACCCTAAAATATTAAACGTTGTATTTTAATGAAACCTATTAATTTAATGTAAGTAACACAAATAGCTAATATTAATGGTTGGTGGTTATAATAATCTGTAAAAAATGTTGCTAGGCACACGATTAACTGCGTAGGTTTCATTTATCGCGCTTATCAGAATCCCTCGTGAATTGATTTCATTTTAGGGATTAAACTATCCGATTTCATACTCTCCTCTGGTACATCTGTGATATATCAAAAAAGACAACAATATATCTTTAGTGAGTGACGTTACTGGTGACCCATTCAATTTACAAAATCAAAATTAGTTTCATTTACTTATACGATTTCCCCACTCATGCCTGGTAAAAAAATGGACATTCTATTTTAAACATTCGAATTATGCAGATTCAAATTCGTGTTTATTGAACCTATAAAATTAAATAGATTCTAAATACACTCGATATACTCGATACTTGCGTCAGTAATGTATTCTGATTCATAAGATTCACTATTGCCCAAATACTAAATACTCGCCACTCAATTTTAAGTCGCGTTTAAGTATAGTTCTGTCAGTACAAGTTATTTGTAAAATGATACAGATGGCACTTTTTAAAAGTTTTTTTTAAGGGGGGAAAATCCCGCCTAGGTGAGGCGGGAGGTAGTGTCAGACTCTTACTGACTAAAAACCACCCCGTTGCCCGTTCCTACTCCTGCACTTCGAGCCGGAGCCCCGGTAACACGTTAAGTCCTCCGCGGCACTTTTTTAAGTATAAGTTAGGCTTAGTATTAATGAGTATTAGTATAATTGCACGCGAGTTAGTTTAATTCTGATAATTAATTTATGACAGTTATCATTATCATTCTACGATTAAAAAACTTATTTCATGATGGAAGCCGAATAATCAGTAACAAGCCGGAAATTCGTATCTATAACTATTTAACATTATAATACATTTTATTTCTGTACATTGCGGTTGCAATCATCATTAGATAATTTTGGAATATCCTACATACTGACTAAAAAATACTACTAAGTTCTGACGTATTGAAACTTCTAATGAAAATTAATCAACGCACGCTACTGATGATGGCATCTTAACGTTTAATTTAAAAGCTCATGACTAAAAGAAATAGATGCACTAGGCACTACAAAAAGTTTAGGTAGCTTCTAAGTTGCGTTAATGCTTCGCTTAGCCAATGCAATTGTTATGAAGCATTTATAAAAATGACAATCTTGTAGCGATAAATATGACACGATTTCAATGTAGAATTATCAGTAATATAGATAATTATCTTCATATAACAGTATTTCATTAAAATGACACATCCTACTAAATAATATCGAATTCAACATGTTACAGAAATGTAACAAAAAATGTATTTGAAAACGTAGTTAGAACAACTGGTAAACACGATAATATTAAATGGCACTAATTGACAAATAACGTTACTGATAAAATTTCTAACAATTATCATAGTACATATAGTATTTAAGTTTATTATACAGTACTCAGACATGTGTATTGTGTATGTATATACATTTTACATAAAAGGTAATTTAGGGCGTATCCATAATTTAAATGTAGATATATAATTTAAAATACAGAAATGACAACTGCGTTTGCAGATAGCCTTCTAAAAAAAGCCTTCTTTCTAGCTACAAAAAAAAACAAAAAAAAAGTAATTAACAAAGACAAAACAAAAACGTATATGTTTGTTAAACCAAAGTATTACAGATTATCTTGTCAACATATCTTTTATAATTTTGATGACGAAGTAATAAATAAGTCGTGTCTTACTACATGTATAGTTACTACCCATACTAGGATAGGCTATGTTGGCAAGCATACATATATTGTTATAAAATATTGTATCATTTGTACCTATTTATTCAAGTTCAAACTTAGCATTCAAATGGCCTATAATATAGGTCTGGTATATATATGGTATAGCTAGTCAACACCAACTGTTTAAATAGTCTACTCACGACGTAAACGCCGATAGATTCTTTACAAACACTGTTTTAATTACATTACAAAGAAGTTCTACTGCATGGAAGTAGCTGATGTGTACATATTATAATATAATCATTATTTTTGATAATTTATTGTGAAGGGTTTCATCTTTCATGATTTATTTAATTCCAGGGCGGAAAGTATTTATGGAACTCCTTCGCCTATTTTCATGGGGGAATACAAAAGGAGGCTGTCAAACTCTTACTGCCTATGAGAATTAGTTGAGGCTGAACCAAATGTCAAATGGGTATTCGCAATATTTTGTTTGAATGAAGTAGGTATAAGATCATATAGTAAAGTACCACTTTTATTTTCGCCCAAATGGAAAATGGTATAAAATAAAATCCAATAAGCCGACGGACAGATAAATCAGACTGCTATCAAGCATTTAAAAAAGCGACATTTTGTAAGAATTAAATATCTCTGCCATCAAAAGAATTGCTTACAGAGCTTACAGGACGACTGTTCAGCGGAGGATATCTTGTGAGTAAATTTGACTGCACGGTTGGTGCGGTGGCTGGGCAACCGGCTGCCGTGCAACGTGTCGCGGGTTCGATTTCCGCACGGGACAACACTTTATGTGATCCACAAATTGTTGTTTCGGGTCTGGGTGTCATTGTGTATGTGAAATTGTATGTTTGTAAACGCACCCACACGACACAGGAGAAAATCCTAGCGTGGGGCAATGTTTAAAAAAAAAAAATGGTGAAAGTGTAGTGATGTTAAATAAAATACCAAAATAATTGACTATCCACAATCTAGACCTTATATATAACCATAACAACCATAACAAATAGATTCTAATTGTTTAATCAATAGAAGTACACAATAACAATTGATCTACTACCTTCCATGGCTGTGAAGTAAAATGAGCTTTTTTGTAAGGATAGTAAGCAATGTTTTTATTTCACATACACACATTGCATCACCTTTTGTTTAGTGATGGAACACAGTGCATGAAATGTAACACTCATTTTCACCTCTGGATTTTAATGATATTAATTAGGTATGTCTTATAAAAGTTTTTTTATCATAAAATTATGAGGTAATATAATTGAGATATGTACAAATTATATCTATTGTAAATTATGGTTTCATAAACATTTAACCGGTGTCTACTACGTTCAATCTTATTATGATGTGCTGGAAGTAGCTATAGCCAAAAGTTTAACTAGCCAGAACAATCCAAAAAAAGAAAAACGGCATAATATATTTAGCGAAGAAACTTTAGCACTAATTAACAAACGCAGTGAACTAAGTATAATTAAGAAGAAAGATGCTAATACAAAGAAAGAATTAAGCAAACTATATAAGGAAACCAGCAGAGCGATCAAAGGGGACTATAGTAAACACAGACAAAGGATAATAACGGAAAATCTTAACAAATTCAGAAGTACCAAGAGAGCATTTAAAAAATTAAACTTAAAGAAACCCTGGATACAAAAACTAGAAGGACAACACAATAACACCCAAACAAGACTCGAAATTATACAACAGGCAACTGCTTTCTACCAAGATCTATACAGAAATAAAGACAAAACCATCGAAGAAGACAACGAAGCACATTTTTGCAATAACACAGAAACTATTAGGCCGATAGAGGAGAAATGTGTATATGACCAGTTGAAACAATTAAAATCAGACAAAAGTCCTGGTCCCGATGGAATATCTAATGAAGCATTGAAACTAGGTGCACCAGTATTACTCAAACATCTAACAGACTTATTCAATCTCATATTAAAGACCGAAATCGTGCCCATTCAATGGTGCACTTCAGATATTATATTACTATACAAAAAAGGAAACCCTCATGATATTAACAACTATAGACCAATTAGCTTACTGGCAAATATATACAAAATCTTCTCATCTATAATTCTTAAGCGCATAACACAAGAGATTGAAAACTCACAACCAATTGAACAAGCTGGCTTTAGATCTGGGTTCAGTACTCTAGATCATATACAAGCGCTGGGCCAAGTTATAGAAAAATACGAAGAGTTTAATAAACCTCTTTATCTGGGTTTTATCGACTACAGCAAAGCTTTTGACAGCATCAGCCACATCTTTATATGGAAATCACTAAGAAAACTAAACATAAATTCAAAATATATAAATATCATAAAATACATATACAACAACAGCACAAGTAAAGTTAAGCTAGAGTCAAGAGGTGAAGCAATTAATATAGAAAGAGGAGTTAGACAGGGGGACCCTCTGTCACCCAAATTATTTATTGCCGTTTTGGAAGATATATTCCAAAATATAGATTGGAGAACTAGAGGCATAAAAATAAACAACTCCTATCTTAGCCACCTCAGATTCGCGGACGACATAGTTATACTGTCTGAAACAGCAAGCGAACTGCAAGATATGCTATGCTCTCTTGATCAAGCAAGCTCAAAAATAGGATTAGAGATGAATGCTACAAAAACCAAAATTATGACAAACAGCATAGAACAGCCCATAAAGGTAAACGGAAAATCTATTGAATATGTCCGCAATTACATCTACCTAGGCAAACAATTGACACTCTCGAAAACGCTTAATGAAAATGAAATTGAAAGAAGAACAAACATAGCATGGAAGAAATTTTGGTCACTCAAAGAAATACTTAAAGGAGATTATTCTATAAACCTGAAAAAAACGGTACTAGACACTTGTATATTACCTTCCCTGCTGTATGGCTGCCAAACTTGGATATACACGGCAAAAACAAAACAAAAGATCACAACAACCCAAAGAGCTATGGAGAGAAGCGTCCTGAACATAAGGAAAATACATAAAGTCAGAAACCAAAAAATAAGACAAAAAACAAAGGTAACAGATGCCCTTACACAAGCACTAAAACTGAAATGGCAATGGGCAGGCCATGTATCAAGATACACAGACAACAGGTGGACAATCAAAACTACAAAGTGGAAAGGACCAGTTGGCAAAAGAAAGGTAGGAAGACCAAAAAGAAGATGGGCTGACGATATAACCGAATTTACTGGAAAGGACTGGTTAGCAATCGGCAGGGATAGAGATGAGTGGAAAGGTCTGGAGGAGGCCTTCACCCGAGGAGGGGTCCATACCCAATAACTAAGATAACCCTTACTAACACCTAGGTATAAGCAAAACTATTAACTTGTAAAATACTAACCAAGAAAATACCAACATTTGAATTGTAATTTAAGGTTATGGAAATAAAGGCTTTTTTATTTTATTTTATTAAACATTTAACCAATAACACACACAGATAATTGTTAAAATATGATTGAAAAACTAGAATGGAAAAACATAGCTCACAGCTTTGTTCGTGTAGAATATGAATTTTAGATCATAACCTGTTTTTTTTTCTAATGTCCAAAATAAAAGTAGCCTATTTTACTCCTTAGTACTTGGCAATAAAAGTCATGTAAAATCTGTCCGGCCATTACAGGGATTAGCCAGTACAAACAGAGACAAAAATTGTAAAATAAAAAATATTATTTTGGTAAGTGTATTGTTTGTACTATATTCATATGCATTTAGTAAAAAGCAGTTATGTTAATACTACAAATAAACTTCAATTTTATTTATCCGTATAGATCTATAGATAGGCACATACTACAGGAAGTTCAAACATAACTAAATATAATGTTGTGCTAAAACTAAAACTTGGTAATTAAATCTTATCAAGGATTGAAGCCCAATTAAAAGTTTCAATGATATTTTCCATTTGTTAGTAATTTGGATATTATAGTATTTTTTTGCATTTAATGACCTCCAATAACCCATAAAAGTTTAATTGAAATTGATAACACCTTTTGGGGCACTCTTATCAGACCACCTTTTTGCATTTTGTTGTATAAGTATAATATTCCTGTTTCCAACTATTGAGACTATTGAACTTTCACTCGGTTACATATTACATTTATTGATTGAAATAATAGACCTTTTAATTATGAAAGCAAACATAACTAATTGAGATGTCTTGTATGTTCAAACAAAATTGTGAAAGTTTAAAGCGTTTTACAAATACAAATATTTAAATAACTAAAATTGATTAGGAAATAATTGGGGCATATGAACATGAGCTTAGTGATTTCATACAAGTGGGGCTTGGACATTTTATCAGTGCATTTTAGATTTTTATGAAATCTGTTGGAGTAGTGTAGTCTGTTATAACATAGACATTGCACTACCACACACTTTAGTTCAAAATATAAGCATTTAACTCACCATGTCTTTGCGCACTTGGCAGCCCATCGGGAACCCAGTACTGCAGTAGGTCTTCCCTCCCTCATTAACCAAGTAACACCAAGTCACAGGCATGTTGTCTAGGATCCAATGGTGCTGGTAAGAGAGAGCCATGCCCATCTTCAGCAGATTCAACCGTTTGTTGGAATCTGAGTCTGAGCCTCTATATGTCTTCGTGCAGACAGGCTTACACTCCACATTTTTAAGGAATTCGAGCTTGTAAGGACTCGGCCGTATTCGTTCGCCGAAGACGACCTGACCGAGATTCTCCACAGGCGATTGACTTTCATCAGTAGTGCAGAAATCAAAGTGGTGATACTCAAATGGAATTACTGATTCTTCTGTGTTCAATCTATTTACATACAGCGGGATTTCCGTCTGAAACATGAAGGAAAGATTTACGACACGTTAATTACCTCTTCGATGCGCTCATTTAAAATCTTTATCAGATTCCTATTAGTTTTGAAAGCCTAAAACGGATGTACTAAACTAAACATGGTTGCTATGTAAAATATGAAAATATTTGTGCCCTATTTACAACCACAACAGAATGAATTGAATTTTAAGAATGTAAGCAAAAGCATTTCGGTTCCGAAGACATGCATGAATCGGTTTAGGATTATATTGATTGTTTATATGATTCCAATTAGAAAATAGAATGGTTGCTCACCTTGCAAGATTTACTAGTGTCATCACTAGCTATACAATAGTTTACTGGAGCCAAACCCGGCAAATAAAATGCTCGAATAGGCGTCAAAAGCAGCAATGCGCAAACCACATACAACGACATGACGTGATGTTATTACACGACTTCCGTTGCTAAAATACTATGCAAATACAGTTATTTACTCCGTACTTAAAGTGAAAAACTACATAATCATAATTAATATCATCACTTTATCAATTAAAGAGGTAAATAACTATTTTAATCTTATTTTATTTCGATGAATATTCTCTTTTGCCTGCGCACTCTCGGAAACGTCACCAATAGCAGTGTTGCTGAGTTGTAAAAAACAAATACCAAGATCACAGTGTTGTCAATTTTTAAATACACGCTGAAATTCTCGTTATTCTTACTAAAACATATTGGGCACATCTGTGCATATGACCAACTTTGCGATGATAAAATGGTAAATATCCAACAAGGACGTTAATTTCTGGATGATTGTTGAATGGTAAATACTTCATTTCAGATCGAGGGTTCAGATCAATTTATTTCTACCTGCATTGATAATAAATGTTTATAAAATGAATTATAAAGTAGACAAAAGGATCTCATAAAGTTTGCTGTGGGGAAGGGGAAACAAAAAGACTGTCAAATCGAAATAAAATCTAAATTGATCAGTTGAGTGCAGAGGGTTTCCCTGGGTTCCTGAGGTTGTAAGTTTTTCTAAATCAGAAAGAATTTCTTCTGCTTCGTGGAGTCATGGGTGCATTTACAAACACTTCGTACATTATGTATTCATGGGTAAGTACGAATGATTGCACGGTTGGCGCGGTAGCTGGGCAACTGGCTGCCGCGCAACGTGTCGCGGGTTCGATTCTCACACGGAACAACTCTTTGTGTGATCCACAGATTGTTGTTCCGGGTCTGGGTGTCACAGGGCCGGATTTAGGGGTCCAGAGGCCTCGGGGCAACAAAGGAGTGGAGGCCCCCTTGCCCCAAATTATTTTCCAGATTGAGATCGAGGACGCTCGCTTGTTCGAGGACGCTCGAAAACGATCGAGGACGCTCGATTGATTTCGAGGACGCTCGATAGATTTCGAGGACGCCCGATAGATTTCGAGGACGCTCGAAAACGATCGAGGACTCTCGATAGATTTCGAGGACGCTCGTAAACGATCGAGAACTCTCGATAGATTTCGAGGACGCTCGAAAACAATCGAGGACGCTCGAAAACGATCGAGAACTCTCGATAGATTTCGAGGACGCTCGAAAACAATCGAGGACGCTCGAAAACAATTGAGAACTCTCGATAGATTTCGAGGACGCTCGAAAACAATCGAGGACGCTCGATTGATTTCGAGGACGCTCGATAGATTTCGAGGACGCTCGAAAACAATCGAGGACTCTCGATAGATTTCGAGGACGCTCGAAAACAATCGAGGACGCTCGATTGATTTCGAGGACGCTCGATAGATTTCGAGGACGCCCGATAGATTTCGAGGACGCTCGTAAACGATCGAGGACTCTCGATAGATTTCGAGGACGCTCGTAAACGATCGAGGACTCTCGATAGATTTCGAGGACGCTCGAAAACAATCGAGGACGCTCGAAAACGATCGAGAACTCTCAATAGATTTCGAGGACGCTCGAAAACAATCGAGGACGCTCGAAAACGATCGAGAACTCTCGATAGATTTCGAAGACGCTCAAAAACAATCGAGGACGCTGGATTGATTTCAAGGACGCTCGATAGATTTCGAGGACGCCCGATAGATTTCGAGGACGCTCGAAAAACGATCGAGGACTCTCGATAGATTTCGAGGACGCTCGACAGATTTCGAGTTTAAGAATTGAAGAATACCAATTGTTCACATACTGCAATTAATTTTTTTAATGGTCGAGACACCGAATCGAATACCATCCCACTGAGCCATTGAGCCATTGGGGTACAAGATGGGTAGTAAATTGGAAGTGCTTATCAGAGCCATTTGAGATTTTGATATTTCACTGATTGCCTGATTGGAGTGAACAAATATAGATCAATGATTTCTGTTTCTGTTAATATTTAAAATTAATACCTCATCAAATAATCATGTATGTATAAAGTACTTTAGGCTGTAGGTAAAGGTAAAAGCGAAAAAAAAATATCAAAGAAAAGATGTTTACTAGGTTTACTAGTTGAAATTTGAAAGATTTTTCTCTATTGTGGAGGCCCCCTGCTTGTGGAGGCCCCGGGGCTTTCGCCCCGGTTGCCCCCCCCTAAATCCGACCCTGGGGTGTCATGTGTATGTGATATTGTATGTTTGTAAACGCACCCACGACACAGGAGAAACTCCTAGTGTGGGGCAACGTTTTTTATAAAAAAAATGTATCTAAACAGCGATCAACAATAAATAATGTGTAAATCCCATTAAGACTTCAAATTCAAATTCAAATTCAAATTCAAATTCAAATTCAAATTCTTTATTGCGTTCCACAATGTTTTACTTAGGTGGTAACATAGAATAATACAGTTCATTGTGGACCCTGTCGGGCACAGCAAGGAAAATAATTATATAATTTTAATACAAAAAAAAAACATTACATAAACAATATTAGAGCATTTAGATATAATTTATACGAACAAAAAAGATAAAAAGACCAATTATTATTATTAATTAACAAATTATACATAATATTAAAATTACAGTCCAGTTAACAAATTATTACTAAGTATTATTGTTTATAAATTATACTGTCATCAAAAAAGTCTTTAAGAGTGTAATAGCATTTATCTATTAAATATTTTTTTAGTCTCGATACAAATATATTGGTTTTTTCTACCTCTACAATTTCCCTTGGCAGTTTATTGTATATCTTTATAGACATTACCAGAGGGCCAGAATGGTAAATTTTTAGTCTAGATGTGGGTAGGTTCAATCTGTTTTTGTGGCGTAATGAGTAGTTGGTTTGCTTCTGATCGCGGGAAGTGTAAAATTCTGGGTATTTTCGAACAAATTTACATATTTCCAGGATATATAGGCTGGTAAGGGTAAGTATTTTATATTTTTGGAAATATGGTTTGCAGCTGTCAGTTTGTTCGATATTTGCTATTATTCGGATTAGTTTTTTCTGCAAAGTAAATACTGTGTGTGAATCCGTGCTATTTCCCCATAAAATTATACCGTAGCTAAGCCAGGCTTGCGCGTATGCATGGTAAGTTATTAGAGCGGTCTGTAAGTTTGTTGTCTTTTTGAGTTCGCGTAAGGCATAAGAAAACCTCGAGAGCTTTGCTCGTATTTTTTGCATATGGGACTTCCAGTTTAAGTGTGTATCTATAGTTAATCCGAGAAGCGTAAAGTCGTGTCGTTCAAAGTCGACTTGAAAATGTTCTGTGCGAAAATCGAACCCGCGACATGTTACAAAGCAACCTTGCTTAGTTTTGTGCCTAAAACTGTGTAGAGTTATAATATAAGTCTCTTTCAATTTTCAATTACTATGTTTTTTAGTATTTGTTGTAGCAAGGAGGAATGTATTACAGAACTAGCTGTTGCCCGCGACTTCGTCGACTGATCAGAGTCGATTCAGTGCCTCAGTAAGATTTATTGTGAAAATAATTTTATTTACCGTGACTTCAAAAAATTAATAAACACGCAGGGATTATACCCGTACAGCGCCTATTCCCGTAAGATTTGAGTGATAAAAACTATTCTATCAACTATTGTTGTACCGAATCTCTCTAAAATAAATTCAGTGGTTAAGAGATAGTAAGTCCCGGGATATATAACGCATAGTTCCCGTTCCCGTGGGGCTTCTATGATAAAAACTATCATACCTATATCGTTACCCAGGTCTCAAATTATCGTTTTACCGAATGTAACTCAAAAAGATTTAATGATGCTAGATTCAATGGCTAAGAAGATTTATACAAACTCTCATTCCTTATTTTATCTCCTTATGGGTGGAATTTATCAAAATCCTTTCTTAGGAGATACCTATGTCATAGTAATTTTATGCATGCAAAGTCTCAGCCCGATCGGTTTAAAACTGACAAAGTATCATTCAACTTTCACTCCCCATTTTACCCCATTTTTTTTTTAAGGGGGGAAAATCATCGAAGGTCTGCTCCCGCCTGGGTGAGGCGGAAGGGAGTGTCAGACTCTTACTGACTAAAAACCACCCCGTTCCTTCTCCTGCACGTAGAGTCGGAGCCTCGGTTACCCGTTAGGTTCTCCGCGACTCCGAATCGGCATCGGCCCTATTGGGCCCCATCTGTGGTGGTCTGATGGCTCTTTGAGGCGCGTGCGGAACGCGACGCGCCGTACGCTCGCCATTTTACCCCATTGGGGGTGCAAATGTTCAAAATTGTTTCTTAACAAATGCGTACGTCACAACACCTACCTGCATGCTTAATTTCAGCTCGATCCGTCCAGTGGTTTGTCCATCTTGCTGTGCTGTACTCGTTGAGTTAACACCTCATTAAATTCCTACTTGCTGAGTATTCTTTGAGTCTTTTCCTGCGAAGCCCTGGCCAATCAATACATACAGTTGTTACATATGTTTAGATACATTTTTTTTTATAAAAAACGTTGCCCCCACACTAGGAGTTTCTCCTGTGTCGTGGGTGTGTTTACAAATATACAATATCACATACACATGACACCCAGATCCGGAACAACAATCTGTGGATCACACAAAGAGTTGTTACGTGCGAGAATCGAACCCACGACACGTTGCGCGGCAGCCAATTGCCCAGCTACCGCGCCAACCGTGCAATCATTCGTACTTACCCATGAATACATAATGTACGAAGTGTTTGTAAATGCACCCATGACTCCACGAAGCAGAAGAAATTCTTTCTGATCTAGAAAAACTTACAACCTCAGGAACCCAGGGAAACCCTCTGCACTCACCTGATCAATTTAGATTTTATTTCGATTTGATAGTCTTTTTGTTTCCGCTTCCCCACAGCAAACTTTATGAGATCCTTTTGTCTACTTTATAATTCATTTTATAAACATTTATTATCAATGCAGGTATATATATTATATATATTTATGTATATTACACATATGTATATTATATATATGAATATATATACCTCTAAGTGAAGATATTATGTCGTATAAATTAAATAAAACCGCAAACACGCTAGGTATTTCGACAATTTATTATATTAAAGATCCATTCCATCGTGCAAAACAATTCCAATCAAAACTAAAAAATAAGTGTTTAGTAACATCGAGTTTACTACTTCAGTGGCAATTGACGTCGTCGCAGCAAGTTTTTTCCTGAATCCACGAGGCTGGCGGTATCTTCCTTCAGAGATATGCCGCGGGCGAACGCTGAGATGAGGCCAAGGGAAGCTGCTGGCTTGTCCGCGGGCACCATGTGTCCGGCACCTCTGACCATAACTTCTGTAAGGTTGGCAGCCTCTCGGTAATAGCTATAAAAATAAAAATATTTTTAGCACTCTATTTTTGCATAGTTGAATAATGCCTATCTAGAGAAAAAGGTTTTGGGGATTTTTTAAAAAAAGGATTTAGTCATCCTTAAAATATGAAGTATGGAAGCTACATCCAGAATCTAAAACGGACGATATTCGTATATTTTTTGTAGATATGCGCATGCGCCAAAGCTTGGTTTTCCTTACCCAGATAATTTTCCATCATGATACCAGGGAGTTCGCTTGGCCTTCGCGTACGCTGCTGATCCGGAGAATGATAACGAACTGTAAGTACTGCATGACGGGTGGTATGCCACTATGATGTCCAAATGACCACTGGAAACAATATTATTCGTTTTAGGCATGTGTCATTTCAGAAGAAGAGTAGGTTCTCATTGGATGTACCGGAAGGAGACTAATCAATTGGTAGGTACCTACAATTTAAGCTCTGGACAACTTACTTGTAAAGCATCACCCTATAGTTTTCGAGTAGTTCTTCGAGCCACATTTTAGCGCTTCCCATAAAGTCTGGTACAAGCTTGCGATACACAACGCCAATCGACGTGAAGTTGGTGTTGCCAACATGTAACGCCTTGCGGACTTCAGTCCTCTGAATATAATCCATGTACGCGCCTTCCAGGTCAATGTCGTCTTGCAAGTAGTTGTACAGGTTCGAAAGGTATGAACGAGACAGGAATAGTTGGAGCAGATAGTTGTAGTACTGAAAACAAATATTCATTACATAATTCACATTGGCTCATGTAAAAACGGAAAGTGAAATAAGACTTTGATTCAAAGTCAGCGACTTAATGTCTTAACTAGCTTTGTGATTTGCTCGGTGCTATATTACAGGTACTATGTACTTACACTTTTTTTTTAATTGGCGAAAGTCATCGAATAACTGCTCCCGTCTGGGTGAGGCGGGAGGGAGTGCCAGACTCTTATTGACTAAAAACCACCCCGTTCCTTCTCCTGCACGTTGAGCCGGAGCCGCGGTTACCCGTTAGGTTCTCCGCGACATGTACTTACACTATGCGGAGAATGAAAGAATGAAAGATTTAGATGACTTAGCTTAAACTCACCGCGTAAGCTTTCACCATCTCTCCGTTATTGATGAACTGCATGACCGCTGTCTCCAGATCGTTCATGGACTTGGCTACATTGTCATCTACTAGTCCGACCTCACGCACGAAGTGACTGTATCGTTGCAGGGAGACGGGATCGATGAAACCATTGCCGATAGCCAGACCCTGGAATTAAGAAGATAGTTTAGAATTAGAGGCAGATTATTAAACTCACACATCCACTTTCACATTCCCTTTGAGCATGTAGAAAAAAGCAAGCACAAAAATGGAAACAGTTTTTTTCTGATTAACTTGTTAACCAATAGAATGACTTTCCTAGAGCAGAAAATTTAGTTTACCTCTTGAGAGGACCTTGAAATAACATTGATATGGAACTAATTAACCTACGGAAATCAACCAAAAGACATTCATTATCTAGTAATATCTAGACAGCAAAAGAAACCATGGTGATGACGTCTTAAGACAAAGTCTTACCTGTAGATTAATAGGCTCGTCTTCATGCTTATGCCACAGGATCTGTACTCCGAGCGAAGGTATATGTTTACCGGCATAAGACTCGCCAGCAATAGTGAGGGGGGCTTTTCGGAGTTCAGGGAAAATGGTAAGGAACTGCTGCAAAGCGTTGTATAGGTTCTCTCCGATCTGTAGAATGGAAATATATCTTTAATAAATGTGTTCCAAATGGAAAAGACTTATTTGACGTATTTGTTACCCGAAAATATTATTTAACTGACCGTGGTTTGATTGGTAGCATATCCTCTGTCGTCATCTGTGAAACTGAATCCAGTTCCCACTGGGTTGTCGATGAACAGCAACGAATGGTTTTTACCCCAAGAGTAGCGGATTTCTAAAATAAAATAAAATAGGTGAGTAATAAGTATATTAAGGTATCTAAGTACCTAATATTTTGCCAATAATCACATGAGCGAAAGCGATTGCCAGGTATGTAAAGGTAGGATTCTAATGAATAAAAAATGTAATTCTCAGGCAAGCAATGAACAGGATGTCCAAGTATCAATTACCTTCCAAATTATTTTCGGTGGAGACGAAGAAAGGTCCGATTTCTGTGAAGAGGCCATACAGTGAGGAAGCACCGGGTCCTCCTTGGAGCCAGATGATCCATGGAGTATCCTCCACAGATTTACCTGACACTGGGAAGTACCAGAACCATAGGTTCGCGTTGTATTTCTTGTTTACCTGTTAAAGAAGAGTTTTTGACTTTACTTAATTCGATTCAAAGTTCGGGATAATTATCCCGAAGTTAAGCGTTTCTATTGAGTTTTCGATTTCTGAATTCCGAATTCGTAAGTACACACGGCTACACATCGAGCTTTACATAACCAGTATAAACTGAACGTTAAATGTGCGGAAAGATGATGCGACGCGACACCAGGATAAACTGGTTTTGTATAGATTGATGTGTGGCCGTGTGTACCAACCTATTTTTTCCTTTCAATAACTTTTTTTTGACGTCCTTGCATATAAAAATTTTAGCCCCTCATGTGGGTACATGGGATTCATAACATAGGTAAGTAACTTATAAATAAAAAATGGTACAGAAAAAATTTGCACAGTGGCTGCGCAATTGGCTGCTACGCAACGTGTCGCGGATTCGATTTCTATGTAGTCACATAGACATGTATGACTAGTACTAGTAGTATGACTAGTACACGCATCCACGACACAGGAGAAAAACAAGATTAAAAAAAGGAAAAAAAATAAGCGTCTATATAGCTATCCTAATTTGTGTGAATTAATAAATATTTTGCCTGTGCCGGCCGAGTATAGAAACTCGTTACCTAACAAACCCATTAACTTGTTAGCTTTGACGCCACTAGTAGTAGGTACGAAGTCATTATAGGTGCTTTGAACTCTTTTAATTTAATAAAGAGCTACCGTTATAACTAATTTGTTGACCAGTTTTTATTGATTTTAATCAATAGATAAATGATACCTACTAGTAAGTATCTATTATAAATTCGATTCTGGCTTTTGGTTTCTGTGTTTTGAAGCCTTCTTTTGATTCTAAATCGTCATAGAGCCCCCTCGCCTGGGCGACGTAGACAAAGAGGACTGTCGGACTGTCCTGCCTGACTAAAAGTTACCCATGTGTACGTTCTGCCTCTTACGTCAGTACGTAAAATTATTGACGGTACAGGATAGAGAAAGAAACTGGTAAATAATAAAACGAAACGAATATAAGATAAACCTTTATATTTAACCGACTTCAAAAAAAAAAAATTCGGCTGTATGTTTTTTTATGTTTGTTGCTCGCTTTCTTGAAGACGCCTGGACCGATTTCAAAAATTATTTTTATATTTTAAAGGATTTTATTAAGGTCGAGGGAACTCTTCGAGGATTTACACCTGTGACCCCGTGTTTTTTTTGGGCTAGAATTATTTGTTTTAATGAGGACTTTATACATAGGTGGGATGTGACTGGCAATAAGGGTCTGTTGAGGGAACTCCTCAGTAGTCACTAGTATTCACCTTGTGTTTGGGTTTGATAATATAATTTGTATTAATGAGGACTTTAAACCTAGATGGCGTATAATTGTCATTGAAAGCCTGCCAAGCCAAGCCTGACGGGTTACACTTCTAGTTTCCTGGAAATCCCATCTGGCATTCCCCAAGGATCACATCTGGGGCCATTGTTATTTATTCTTTAGATTAATGACATTGGAAACATCCTTAAAAAACTAATTCTCTCTTATACGCAGATGACGACAGATTATTTAGGGCTGTTTCCGGAGTGGACTGCTGTTTACAGTTACAGTCCGATCTCGATAGGCTTTAGGTATAGTTATTGTTCTATGAAACAACTTTACTTAAACTTAAATAAGTGCTCCATTATCACATACACTTGAAACCGCACTATACATAACTACCATATTAAAAGTGAATTGAGTAGTTTCCAGGATATCAAAATTAAAAATCTAATTAGGACTAATTCGATTTTCAGTCAGTTAGATAACGAAAAAATATTAGACACGTATTTTTTTATTTTCTCGTATTAAGTTGCAATACTTAGATAAAATGGCGCTAAGTTTCGGAGTAGGACGTTGATACGTCATAACGTGTGATAAAATGTGGCACGCTGTGACGTCACATGATATTTCAAATTAATAATATATCGTCAAAAGTGTTTAATTTTGTGAGAGAAAAAAATACGTGTCTAAAGTTTTAAATTAATGAACCAGACTGACATTAAAATATTATTTAGGAAACTACCCTATTCCTTAGTCGCGTTTACTCTGTTCGCGATTTGGGTGTCTTTATGAACTCACAACTCTCATTTAGATAACTTACATTATCGGTCATGTGGCCAAGAAGTCGTATAGGCAGCCTTGGTTTCATAATTCATTAATTACAAGGATTTCAAAACCATTTAAACGAGCTATACCTAAGTAAAGTAACTTTAAAGTTACTTTACTTTTGTACGTTCTCTATTAGATTTTGCATGCACCGATCATCTGGAGCCCCTATTATGCATGTCACACCATTCGAATTGAAAATATTCAAAATAAATTCATTAGGGAAATGCTTAGATTACCGATACGGTCACCCTCATGTATCTTATGAGACCTCCACAAGGTACCACAATTTGTCATTGCTTTCTGATCGAAGAACCTACTTTGAACAATGTACCTTTTTAAAATAATTAATAGTTATATTGACTCACCCCCACTATTAGAAAGGGAAATATATCTAAGGGTGCCCCATCATCGTTCCCGCTTGCGAACATTATTTTCGGTAGATATCTTCAAAGAACAATATACACAAGTAACAACTTTTTCAAGCGCAGTGTTAGCATTTATCACGATGAATTAAATGAACTATATAGACATATTTAACACCAGTTTCAATGTGTATAAATCTAAAATGAAGCAGAAATATACTCAGGGCTAGGAAGGGAATTATTATATCATGTTCACTTTGTAAGTAAATTCATGTTCCTACTTAGAATCTAATTTTCTAATAACGGTAAAATGGGGTGAATAGGGTTTGAACGGCGAAAAGGGACAGAAGAGGGGTGAATCGATACTATGAAGAATTTCCTTATATCTATTCACTCCTCTTCGGTCCCTATTCACCTCTCGATCCCTATTTACTCCATTTTACGGTATATAGATACATTATCTACATTTACTTTTTTTTAATGCACCTCTCAATTTCTCAGAATCTCTAAGAACCTCTAAAAACAGTACCTTTTTGAATTTATTGTTTTATGGAACTTCAGGTCTGTATGTATCAAACTGTATTGTAATAATTTTTTTTTGTTTCCTGAATACTTAAAGAAAAATAAAATAAATTTCCTCAATGGTTAACAGTCACTACCTGGTGTTTGAGCTTGAATAATTTGTATTGACGAAAACTTTACACGTAATATAATATATCATTGTACCTACTAAACTGAAAAGTATGAAATAAAAATAAAAACTGCGTTTAAAAAAACCGACTCCATAATCTAAAACGAAAAGTAAAACTAAAAAGCAAAAAATAACTATTATTGGTTATACGTACTTATAGCTTACACACCCACTGATAGGTTAGAAGTCGGTGCCACAAATTCATAATAAAATATAACTTGGGTAGGTAATGGTCACAAGTATAATGGTACAATCCATGATAAAATTGTAATCAGCTTAATAATGTAAGGTATCTCTCAAGGTTTTAATGATTTATTTTGTTTAATAGGTACTTGTAGCACCGGCTTTTCACCTATCAGTGATCAGTGGGTGTGTAAGCTATAAGTACGTATGACTAGGTAATAATAATTCTTTTTTGCTTTTTAGTTTTAGATTTTGTTACCGACTTCAAAAAAAGGAGGAGGTACTATGTTCGGCTGATTGTTTTTTTTTTTTTGTTTGTTCGCGCAGTACTCCGCCGTTTGTGGACCGATTTCAAAAATTTTTGTTTTGTTTGAAAGGGTATACTCCCGAGATGGTCCCATTTCCATGAAGTCAGGATCTGATGATGGGATCCTAGGGAAACCGAGGGGAACTTTCAAAAATTCTATGGGGGAGTAATGCGTATATTATGTTTTCCAATTACGAAATTTAAACACTACAATTTAATAAGGGTCTGGAGTCGACCTGATGATGGAGTCGACAGACAGTCGAGGGAACTCCTCAGCGGTTTATAGTAACTACCTTGTGTTTGGGCTTGATTAATTTGTATTGATGAGGACTTTACACCTAGATAGAGTGGGGCTGTCATTAAGGGTCTGATGATGAAGAAGTGTAATTGTTAAAGGAACTCCTCAACAGTATACAGTAACTACCTTGAGTTTGGGCTTGATTAATTTGTATTGATGAGGACTTTGCACCTATGTATATTATAAGTAACAAAACGGGTATATGTAGCTTTACACTGAAAATGGTAAAATAAAATAAAAACTGCGTTTAAAAAACCGACTTCAAAAACCAAAAACTAATAACAAACAAAAAGTCAATACTAAAAAGCAAAAAATAACTATTATTAGTACTGATAGGTTACCCACCCACTGATAGGTTAGAAGTCGGTGCCATAAGCTCATATCATAATGATATAACTTAATGTCCACAAAATTGTGAATTAGATACCTATTAAGGTTTTAATGAATAATTTTGTATGGAACTTATGGCACCGACTTCTTACCTATCAGTGGGTGGGTAACCTATCAGTACTAATAATAGTTATTTTTTGCTTTTTAGTATTGACTTTTTGTTTGTTATTAGTTTTTGGTTTTTGAAGTCGGTTTTTTATGTAATATTATTTTTGACTTAAGGTCTGCTCCTATTCCAAGTAAGTATCAGTCGTAAACTTGCTGATATAGCTTTTATTGAGAACTTACATTACGAATCCGTGTTTCCGTAATAATTTTAATTGGTGGCTTGAACTTTAAAGAGGTGGAAACACTTACAGTAAGGTATCCCGCATAACTGTCCATATCAGGCAACAGATATTCAGGATCTACGTAGGCCGCCTTCCTCGCCTCGTCAAGTTTCTTCTCTTCAATGTAGGGTGTAAGTAGAAGTGGAGAGCCTGCATCAAACGCAGCTCGAGCTCGGCCCGTTTTGTAAGTCCTCTCCATAAACGTCAGGATTGGCTCCGGAGCCTCTCCCGGTGGAAGATCAGGGAGAGACACATCTTCATCTCCCCATACTGCTTGGTGAGCGCATCTGTGTGAAGCAGGTCATTTTGAATCGTTTAAATTTCTTGCCTCGTAATAGTAGAAATGAATAAGGGGTTTTTGGGTGTCGAGATTTCCATATGATGAGATCTCAAGGGTTTTTCATGAATAGTAGGTGCGTGCGAAACGTGTCATTAAAAAAGGTAAATAAGGACAAAATATCGCGCCGGACTTCAGTGTTCCGGTGTTTTCATGGTTGTATCTACTGTAGATCCTGGCTTACAGGAATTGCAGCGGTTTTGGGAGGCTGTTGCGGGCTTGTCCCATTGAAAAAAAAACACAATATATGTATTTTAATCAAAAGTAACTGTACTAATAACGAAGGAGTTGGGAAAGCATAGGTATTTAGTATAGTCATCACTAACCACAAGGAAACAGCTGAGCTTCTATGTTGTAACAAACGTGTGACGATATTTTCTTAATTGACGTCACCTTTTTGTACGTAATATACCTAACATGACCTACGTATTTACTAACTATTGCGACTTTATGTAAACTTGTGATGAACAGAAGAAGTTATTTCACACAATTTGGGCAATAACTAAAGCCATAAAATCATAAAAATAAAATTATGAAACTCAAAATGAATTCGAAATTCAAAATGAAAAAAAAGAAGAATCCCTTTACCAGAGTTGAGATTTCCGCGGTTAGGTCTAATTAAAAAAAAACTTACGTTAATAACACAAATGTCAAAAGCACGTCCATTTTGTGTGGTCACTATCAGGCGAGGGTGCTTCGCGTGTCGTCCTCCACGGCGGAATGGGCCCGCGTCCTAGCCTCGGGAACTTTGTATAGTCAGCCAGTTTTCAACGTGCACTTGCGTCTTGAACTTGGATTTATCTCGATCTTCTATACAGGCTGCTCTTATTACTTTGTTTACGGATGATCGATTATTATTTATTGTCGAATTCCGCTTATCGATTTTATTTAGGTAATTAACAGAATGTAACGCCGACTTTCATGTGACGCGTTATATTCCTTAACAATTACATATTTTTATAAACTTAGTACTTACCTATTTACGAGACAACTCACAGAGTCAATAAAATTCCCAGTAGAGAAACCTTCATTATAATAATGTAGCTGATTAATTTAACGTGTTTGTGTTTTCCTCATATTTACCTCTATATACGTTGATACAAATAAGGAATAACTTCACTTTCCTGAATACTTACGTAGTCAATAGGATGTATCGTGCATATACCTAATCAAAAAAATTGTTTATCAGAAGTGATAGTAAAATTAATGGGTAATTATAAATTATTATTAGAAGGGGGAGGCCTTTGTCCAGCAGTGGACGTCTTCCGGCTGTTGATGATTAGAAACATTATTTCCCAACATAATTATAGAGCTACCTAGCTAATGTTACTAATATTAAATTGTTCTTTAGTAATTTCTCAGAAACTGATCAAAGAAATTATTGAAAACTAATAAATGGATGTTATTGTTCCGCGTGGATATCGGAACATCCTGTAGATCGCGAGGTAAGGCGCGGGGTACCAATGACCTGCTTAGCATAAACGCGCTCCCACGCTCAGATATTCGCGATAGATTCTTGCACGCTCTTAAAAGTGATTTGCTCTATATTTAGGATGCTCGTAGTAAAACAAACATCGAATGACATCGATGCGATACATTTAAATACGTGAATGTTATACGTAATTGCGTATTACGATGTGCGTGATCCGACTTAACTGATAACTGATTTTCCCACGCTCGTAGAACCGGACAGCGGCTTCTGTTTTGGGAGGTTTTTCCCGAACTACTAATTTTGAACGCGATTTCTTTGTAAAAAACACATTAAGTTTATTAAGCCTATGTTAATGTGGTTTAATCTTTATGGGCAGGCTCCTCCGTGAGATTCTGGTTGAGTCATCGACATTTCTGTTCGATCGAGCAGGCGATGCGCAGGCGCAGGCGATCGGTTACGGTCAAGATCAAGCGACGGCCTTGCGCCGTCGATGTTGACTTGCATTAACGATTAAATGTTTTTGTTACTTCCAATTCTTATCGGTTTTATCTTAATAAGTACATGTTCCACATTTTTCCATTTAAACAATTTGTATGTTAGGTATTTTCGTATTGTTGGACTTGGATGATGAATATAGTAGAGAGCTAAACTTTCATTATTTGCTTCATTTAGTAATGATAGTATTTAATAGTCTATCAATACATTATAAAATCGGCGTTTCTATAGTCTTCTGGAACCACTCGAGCCCGACGAAAACTTTACTCAATTTTTTTAAATAAACGGGCTGTTCTGTTTAACTGTGGTTCTTTCTTACAGTGGTCTTTTAACGAAAATTACTTATATACCATATACCGGATCCAATCCCGAACTGCTAACTGAAAATACTCAAAAATCGAAAAACTCAAGAATATTATTTTTTCTGGCCCCAAGTATCGAAACCCAGACCCCTTGTTCAGTAGCCAGAACTTGTGGTTATTCGACTAATGAATCCAGGGTTCCACAATACGTTATATTTCTACGTATTTCATATTTTAGCAATACAAGCTTGAACTAAAATCGTTGTTTAATTATCTACCATAATCCATTAACTATGTAACTGTAACAAATATATTTGAAAAACAATCCTAGGTAAATACTTACCGAGGTTAATATATTATTTAATTAAATAGACCATATTTTATAGGATTTACAAGCAATGTAATATTTAATGAGCTAGAAATTCCATATTACATCATTTTACATCATCTTAAAGGTGTCATACTGAGTTACTTAATATGTTACTGTCATTTTTTTCCCGACTGTGTCGAAGCAAAAAGAAGGGTTATGTTTTTGACCTGTATTATGTATAAAGGTCTAAAACATGTAGGTACCTAAATACATTTGTATAACTGATGGAAACCTTTAAAAGGTAAGGCTTTTTTGGAAAACACACGAGGGAGTCATACATCAATAATATCACCGTGGTGACCATCATCAGCGCCTGTAAGGGCTACCTCATAAATGCTTGCTCCGAAGCCCTCACAGTGCAACACGTTACGGCACATCCCTAGGATTACCTATTTAGATATTTGGGTATTTCAACGGTATACATATAATACCAAGTACAATATTATTATTCAATGTCAAAGCATTTATTACAATTTCAAACCATAAACTGGTACTTTTGCAACATCAACAAATAATAGTCTGCCAGTCAGTGAAGCTAGGTGCTTCCAAAATATAGATTCGAATGGAGAAGAAACTCCGTTCGTTATAAAAGTTAAGTTTAATTTCACAATGTTTATTCGATATTTATTTTAAACATCTTATCGTCCTCGATGGTCGAATCGCCGTAACTAATCCTCTGCAAGGGGTATCGGGTTCGATTAAAATTCTCAGTAGGTAATACTATGAAGTCTGTAATTGTAATTGGAATTAAAATAAAATATACTGAAAGGTTTTTCCTTACAGATAAAACTTTTCAAAATACATTCGTATGATTTCCTCCAGAAATCACAGTTTAAATTTAGCCTGTCGTCCTCCGTTCTGTCGTGTATAGCCAAAATTAGCATGTTACTTTATTATAGGCCTGTACCTAATTTTTGTTCAAGGCGTTGTCAAGTAGATGAGTCACAAATTGACAATGTGTTTTAACAATACTTACTTGATAGTAAACGCTGACGTGAAAGGTAAATCGCAATATTCCCCAAAGGATAATAGGCACACGTACTTACACAAAGGAAAATAGGTAAATGAAAAGGATAATTGCACGCAATTTACCATACACGTAGATTATTAATTAAATCATGAATATTCCTCAAGATTCGTCATCAATTTTCTACGGCATTATATTATAAGTAAGTATGTTGCAAAATCATGAACATTAGTGGACAGGTTTGCAACGAAGCCGGTCATGGAGCGAGCCATACTTGTGGTGTTACTTGCTGCCCTTAGGTTAGTACTTACGGAATTATTAGTGCTTCGCTCCTAGCGGGAACATGGAACATTATCTTGAGTTCTAACTTGTTCATAGCCGAATTTCTAATACATTTTTATTATAAAACGGTTAACATTGGTTTCGTGGAACTTATCATCATTAACTTTGATAAAATTTTCATAAACTATTAAAGAAGAAATCGGCAAAGGCTCGAAACTAACATACCTCTGGGACTTCTCGTAAGCACACATAGAGGGGACATGTTTGAAAGTTCAATCATTATCATTTATTACTAAGGGCATGGCAGACATTTATGACACATAATTACGTACAGAACGATCGTAAAACCAGATTAATAGCTTCTTTGAAACTATGAATATGGGTCCTGAATTCTAAAAAATACTGTTAAATTGTTTATCGATAAAGACTGTTAAGTTTGCATTATTTTCATATTCAACCATCTTTTTACAGCGGTGTTCTCGGGGCAGAGGATTCTTGTGGTGACTGCCTGATACTGACGCCTCACATCCAAAATGGCAACGCGTCCTTAGCAAGAGAACTTTCAGAAGTAAAATCAAATGATTTTGCGGGACTTACCAGTTATTCTGGTTTTATAACAGTGAAAGAAGAATATAATTCCAACCTCTTCTTCTGGTTTTTCCCTGCTGCCACAAATCTGTCAAATACTCCGCTAATTATATGGTTGCAAGGTGGTCCTGGGTTTTCATCTATGAAAGGATTGTTTGATATCATTGGACCTATAAAGGTGGAAAATGGAAAAGGTAAGAACACACACAATTTACAATTATCTCCTATATCTTGCTTTGCTTGGTCAATACATTATTCTCTGTGTACCTCTACATTTTGCATGCTACTTCGATTTTCTATGGAATGAGTACCTAAATAATGAAATGTGGGTAAGTAGCTGAAGTGCGTCATAAAATCAGTCCATATTTTTGCCACAATAACTTACCATAATTCAACAATAGCTGACTCATGGCCACACTCAATATCCATAGAACAATATAAACTAAAGATCGCACGTCATTTTGCTTAGACGCCTATTCAGGTGGAATAATTCTTGATTGGGTTTTGAAATGACAAACGAACGACATGCTCCATCGTAGACCGCATCATCGCTTACCACCAGGCGAGATAGTGGTTAGAAAAACTTATCTTCCTATGATGTAAGCAAAATGCTTAATGTACCATCAGTGTTAGATAAAGACTCACGCGCTCCAAAGGTCCTATCATTTTAACGTAACGTTGTACAAAACGCAACAGAAAATACATTGCATCTCGACTCAAGTCTTTCGTTTGCACGTGTATCAACTCTCAAGTCAATGCTCATTCATCACACTAATTAAGTAGGTAATTTTACAAACGCGGCTATATTTTACTAGTAAAACAATACATAATTACAAAAATTTATAATTGTAAGAGTGCTGTTATGAAGCAGATAGTAATGGCGTGTGTGAATAATGTTCGTGGCTAATTGATTAACTGTTAGTTTTTACATCGTAATGTGCAAGACAAATTCACACTGTCACGGATAACTACTTATGAGAAGTACTATCGTATGAGAAGAGAAGAAAAGTTTGATGTTTCTATAAGTTATTGCACCTTTTTTGCATCAAATGACTCCTCCCATTCTGGGTGAGGCTATTTATTAATACTAAAAACTATACCATTTAAACTCCTGTTTCAAGCCGGAGTTTTCTTTTTTATTTCGAAGGGAAAAAATAGCACGTCTTTCTTTTTCTCCACCATGCCAAATAACCTGAGCAAAGTCTTTGACAAAACTACGTTTATTTAATAAAATATCTATATAAATATCCGCGTTGTTTCAGTGGTACGAAGAAACATATCGTGGTCTGACTATTCGCTGCTGTTCCTCGATAACCCAGTTGGTGCTGGCTTTAGCTTTACTGATGACGAGGATGGATACACAGACAATGAGGATGATGTAAGTAAACTACAACTCAATCCCCATTCCTCACATCAATAACCCCCAAAAGGTCAGCAAAACATTTGTAACGCCTCTGACAATACTGATGTTCATAGTTGCCGGCCATCCTTGCCTTGCTTGGTCATCAGACGGATGACCTGATGGTAATCGTAACGTAGCAACTCGTTTGCCACCCTATCCCTTAAAAAAACTTGCTTGTAAACCTAAATGGAAAACGATTTTCCGTTAAAAGAACCAAGTCTTCGCTGATGACATGAATCTCAAAGTAGAATTTATAAAGTAAACGCAAAAATAGAAACACCGCTCAAACATGAATTTCTTCTATTCGTGTATAGACACTAATAGAAGTCACGTCATTTTGTTTAATATATTTTTATTTTTTCATTTAACTACATTCCATTATCATTTAAATATTCAGGAACTGGTTAATCTAGCTGTACCTAGGCTATACGTACGTACCTAAGTGTGAAATGTAGCATAAAGTCAGCATTCTAAGCGAATATTTTATCGATGTAAGGTCATCAAAATCTTTATCGATAAATGAAATGCAAATAAACCAGTTAAAGAGTATCGTAGGTATGCAAATACAAATATTATTTTACTGGAGTGCGCTGTAGAAAGGTCACGGTGCACTGACCTTACACGCTAATGTAAATTTTACATTATGCAAGAAAGTTTTGAATTTTTAATCGATGTTGTAAATAGTTTAATGGCGGTTTAAAAATTGCTGTTTTTAGTTATGTAGAATTTTTTGTTTAGGTACTTTTCTACTCACTACTATTGACACAACTTTATAAATATCTACAATTATTTACTTAAATGAATTTTTTATTGCAGGTTGGTGAACAAATGCTAACATTCCTGAAGCAATTCCTGATGATGTTTCCAGAGATTAGATCAGCACCGTTGTTTGTGGTCGGCGAGTCTTACGCGGGGAAATATGTGCCAGCCCTCGGCATCCAGATCCATAGACATAATCAGAACAATCCCAAAGACTATATCAATATGAAGGTGGGTGTTAGCAGAAATTGCCGGGTCATCTAAATAAAAAAGATATTTGTTTTTATGTTATGAGCAAGCTAATTCTGGCTTTAATTTAGGGGCGTTATGATGAATATAACGCACATTGTAATGTCTGTGTATAGGTACTATATACTGTGGGTGTGGGATGTGGGTGTGAACACAAATACTTTTACATAATACACAATACATCCAAGCCCAGACCCATTTTTGGAATACCTATAGCAAACACAAAGAGTTGTTCCTTGCGAGATTCACATCGCATCATCGCAATATGCAGCAATCAGTTGTCTAGTCACCATGACTTAGTCAACTAGTACATTCAACAAAGCAGTACGTACGAGTAGATTCCATACATACAATGTTTTAAAATCTTCCAGGGTATCGCAATCGGCAATGGTTTGATAGAACTCAGAGAGATGATGCACTACAGCACCCTGTGCAATGTGCTGGGCGTGCTCGAGGGTCCTCAGATAGAACACTTGGAGCTGCTGGAGAAACAGGTCGTCAAACTCATTGACGCTAAGAAAATGGTCGATGCAGCTAACGTAAGTTGCTATCAAACGTTTTATTTGAATAGGACAGGTTATTTTACCAGTGAGTGGTACTAGTATTGCTTTACAAAAATAGCTATCTTACATTGAATGGGTTGGTAAAAATAATACAGCTAGCCACATATTGTATTTAGAACTTTAGTATTCACATATAAGATCACGCTTTTTATTCCCGAAAGGGTAGGCAGAGGTGTACATTACAGTACTTAATGCCACTATATAATGTAACACCCACTTTCCACTATTTATGTTATGATCCCATGTAACAGGGGGTCAGCCTATTGTCATTTACCGGGTACAGAGAATCGAACTCGAGGCCCCTTGCCAGGCAGTCGCACTTGCGACCACTTGGCCAAGGCAGTCAGTTTTAGCATTCAGATTGAAATAAAATAAAGACCCGAAGAAGGAAAACTTTTTCAATATTCTAAAACTCATTCTTTCATCTTTGAGTGGATTTGTAAGAGAATAATATAATAATACATCGGAGGAAAGGAAAGAAGCAAAGATATACACCACTAAAATATTAAACTCAATATTTCAGAAATTCAACGAAACAATAGAATATATTAAGAAACAGAGTGGCATCAGTATTTATAACTTCTTGGAGGGAGCTTCTTCAGGGGCACCAGAGTTTGAAGAGTTTCTCAAGAGGAGTGACGTCAGAGATCTGATCCATGTGGGTAATGCCACCTTCACACTCAACAACCAACTGGTTTATGAGAAGATGTTACCAGACTTAGCAAACACTACCAAACCTTTCGTTGAAGAACTCTTGGAACATTACGGAGTTATGGCCTATAAGTAAGATGATGAAAAACTACTTACACTCAAATACTGAAAGGCTACTCAATTTTAAGTTGTATGTACTTAAATATCGTGCTATCTCTGTCGTTTTACAAAAAATTTGTAGAGACAGAACTATATTTAAGCGCGACTTAAAATTGCGTAACGCTTCAGTATTCGGGCATTAAACTTTTATTTGTTGATAAGTAACACTCGTGCTGTTTTAGCCCTTAAAGTTCAGAATAACGAATACAATTTTGAGTGTGGGATAGCCATGCTTCGGTACGATTGGAGTGATACCACGGCCTCACAGAAAACCGACGTGAAGCAACGCTTGCGTTGTGTTTCGTCGTATTAGTGAGGTTACCGGAGGCCCAATTACCCTCCCCTTCCCCAATCTCCCCAATTCCTGAATCCCCAACGATCCTTAAACTCCTAATCCACAAAAGGCCGGTAACGCACTTGGAATGCCTTTGGCATTCCAGGTGTCCATGGGCGACGCCGATTGGTTACCATCAGGTGATCCGTCTGCTCGTTTACCGGCTTATTCCATAAAAAAATACAAAAGTTTTTGGTTTTCTACTTCTATATGTATAATGGATACTTACCTCGTTTCTTTAAATTACAGCGGCCAACTAGACGTGATTCTAGGGTACAGTTTATCAAAACACATGTACGATACGCTGAAGTGGTCCCGACGTGAGTCCTACGTGCAATCCCCCAGGCGACGCTTACGCAAATTCGCTAATGGATCCGTTGTCGGGTAAGTACTGAAACTTAAAACTAAATCCCTTAACTAGAACTTTTTGTTCCACTGTGGGTAGCTATAGTTCAAAATCCTATTTAAGTTTTATCCAATAAAATAGTTAAAGATCCTAACGTGAAATAATAGAAGAGGTCCGAAATGGAGAAAAAGGAAAACCCTTTTCGAATGATCGTCCTTTTGGAACATGAATCTCAAGTTTTAACGAAATTACAGAAATCTTACCAGTACCTATCTTATAAGGAAATTTCACTTTCTCTTCTGAAGTACTTTTTCCGATTCTGATTCTTTAATCTCTTCAAGATCCAAATAACACATTACCTTATTTCAGGTACAAAAAGGCTGGCGGAAACTTCGAGGAAGTACTAATTCGGGGAGCCGGACACATGGTGCCGGTCGACCAACCAGAGGTCGCCAAATTCATGATGGACAGTTTTATACAGACATACAAAAATTAGTTTATATGTACAAAATATCTTTATTATCTATCTCTATTATATAAAATAAACCATGTGATATTTACAACAGTTTGTTTTACAACTAAAAGGCACTGTGGATATAGCTAGTCCTTGTTTTGGCTCAGATTTTCGACTAGTTATACATAAATGTACCTATATTCACTATGTCCCACAAATACTTAAATAAACATCCGATAAACCGCAACAGAGCCACGTGTACTAAAATACGTAAAAAATAACTTATAGGTCTTAACTTATCAACACTTGCATAGGACCTCGTGCACTAACTGCTTGTCATATATAAAATTATTATATCCTGAATTACAGATTTGTTGTTCATGTAAAATAATTACGAATACTTTGACATTTTAACAAATATCTCAGAATTGATTTTTTAAATCCAAGATTTATATTATTTAGTAGGTATTTTGTTTTTCTGTGTGTACTTTGTATAATAAAATAAAAAAATCTCTCATTATAATTCAGAGATCCAATAAATGCTGAGATCTGACCATAAATAACTCAATTCCTTTACCAAAACAAAATATGAACACAATTAAGGTTGCCTGAACCACTTAAGGTTGCATTTCCAAACAGCCTCCAACACACGAGATGATAATTTCAAACTAAAGAACCGAGTATTCACGAACATTCAAAAACGATGCACAACCATTTGATTATTCCTGGTTTAAACTGTTCACAACCTGCTTAAAACATAGTAGATGTAGTAATACTGGTCTCGTCCACCGTCTTGTAATTATACATGTCCGATCGTCTCTTCCATCTTAACCCATAAACTACTCCACAGACGATAGCTAGGATTAACAGGACATTAAGGACTAAACTGACTACCATCACAGCTTGAGTACCAGTCGGTGGGTCCCCAGGAATTTGTAGAATGGTCTTTGAAATGCCTTCAAGGTCATCGTCGATGTAGGCAGCCGTATCTTGAGGTACAACATGATAGTTTGGAGGTAGTGGCATGTCTAAACCTCTGATAAAGTAAGAGATCAGTTGTGCAGTTTCTGCTGGCTTGTCCATGGGGACTAAGTGACCAGCTCCACGCACTAATACTTCGGTGAGGCTGCCCCCGGTTTTTACGTAGCTGAAAATAGAAACACATATCTATTAAAGGTTTTGTTACAATTGATAAAATCTCTTTATGATTTTAAGTCCTGAATAATATACGTACTAACGAGAATGTTCGACGCACCGATATTTAAAATTATGTCAGTTTTGTATATTGCTTTGATATTTTCCTTAAAAATACCTCAAAGAAAAAAAACAAAACGGTTTTTGTATAATGCTCCGGGTAATTCAACCGCTAATATAGTATATAGGGAAGCATTAACGTAATCAACTAGATACCAATATTACCAAATAAAAATATACTATAGTCAGGATCTTTATTGGCAAAAAAAATACTATACCACCTTCTTGAGTAAGTTCATAATTATGTATATAGCCCACTGTTATCTAAACGATGTTGTTTTGTTTTCGACAACTACGCGAACGAAGTCGCGGGCACAGCTAGTACGTACTAAATAGACATAACTCACCCAGCAACTCTTTCACCGAACCACCAAGGAGTGCGCGACGCGTTGAGGAACTCATTGCGTTTGTTCCAGTGCCAGTGCTTCCTCCGTGCTTTTGCGTTGGGCACACAAGGAGCTGTCAAGTCCATTTGACCACTGGAATAGAGGAAAACAAATACCAGATGAAAAACAATTTTTCATTACTAATAATACATTGGGAAATAAAAAAGTAATCAAAATTTGGATAGTTACATACTTGAAATTGAAAGTAATGAAATGGAATCTTCAAACAACATAGTATGACAAAGAATAACAAAATAGGACATGAGGAGATCTAAGAAAGACTTTTAATAATAATCAATGAAAATCGAGTCAATGTTCAGACCAGCAGCTGTAGCCAAATGCCATTTAGCGCTTATCTACATGTAGAATAGAAAACCAAATTATATAGAATTGACGTAAATTTTCACACTTGTCAGTGTCATCCCCATACATTTTGATTTCTACTCTCTCTGTAGAAAAGCGCTAAAGTGGCGTTTGGCTAAAAGCCCTGGACTACCGTCTCGACCAAGCAACAGTGCCTCAATTTCTGTAAGACAATGCAGAAAGACAACTTACCAATAAATAAGTATCCTGTAATGATTAAGCAGCATCTCCACCTTCGACCTGACTTCGCTTAAGAAGTCAGGAGTGAGCCTCTTGTGGGTGGTTCCATTGTGGAAGGCGAACTGTATGGTGCCGACGTGTATAGCCTCACTCACTTCAGGTTTCCGAATGAAGTCCACGAAGTCATCCAGATGGTTCATGCTGTCCAAGAGAATGTTGAAGGTTTGCTGCTGCATGGCTATGTCATCCAGCTTGTTCAGAAGTTCTTCGCGGAGCTGGAGATGAAATAAGGTATTTACGTGGTAGGTACAAAGATTTTGTTAACCGTGGTGTGATCGCAAGACTTATCGAAAGTATTGCGATAGTTTCAGATTTGGGAATGATTTATAGCAATAGGTTGTCTGGAATACGGCTGAGGTGACTATGTAGTAATATTTATTAACAGTATCTGGCAGCTGCTTCGTTAGTTGAATGGTCGCAAGTGCGACGGCTGAGCAAGGGGTCTCAGGTTCGATTTTCGGGTCGGGCAAAGTAATACTAGGTTTTTTAAAAAAAAGATCAGTCGTAGCACGGAGTCTAGAATTGTGCCCGGTATATAGCAATAGGCTCACCCCCTATAACATAGGAATCATAACATATTGTGAAAAGTAATGTGCACCTCAGCCTACCCTTCGGGTATAAAAAGCGTGATGATGTTATATATCTGGTGGATACTTTAAGTACATTTCAGCTTAAATATCTTTAGAAAATACTAGGGTCCTACAGTACTATACTTACATCAGTAGCTCTTTGAGCATCACCGGTGACTACAGCTTTATTGTATGCATCTTGCAGTGGTTTAACTGCCAATAATCCTTGGCTGTCTATCAAACCCCACTGGTAGAAGATAGAGCTGTAGTCTGCTATGCTGTCGCGACTCAGCACTGGGTTACCCATCATAATACCCTGGAAATCAGAAAAAAGTTAAGGTCAAACGAAAGATCAGGTATCGTGTCCAATTTGATGTTTTGTTGTTTTCAAGATGATTCTAGGTATCTACGTAGGTTTATAAGTACTAAAATAACGAGTTCTCAAAACGTTTCAGTAGTGATTGTGAGTGCTACAATATTAATTTAGGTAATGGGTACACCAAACACAGCATGCTTTAATCTCTCATGGAGCAAGGTGGCATAAGATGATAACTATTCAATAATGTAGAATTGCTAAATCAATATAGACTACAAGAAATCAGTCAACCTCCTTTTTTGAAATCGGTCAATAAACTTCTTATTTAAGTCTCCTGTGAGATACAGCGTATATTTAGTAGGTATGCAACTAACATACTGCCTCGTTGGCCAAGTGGTCGCAAGTGCGAATGCCGGGCATACCATACCGGGTCTCGGGTTCGATTCCCGGGTCGGGCAAAGTATTACTGGGTATTTAAAAAATTCTCAGTAGTAGCACGGAGTCTGGAAATGTGCCCGGTATATGGTAATAGGTTCACGCCCTATTACATGAGACTCATAACATAAATAGTGAAAAGTGGGTGTCATTGTACAGTGTCATAATGCACACCTCTGCCTACTGCTTCGGGGATAAAAGGCGTGATGTTATGTTATGTTATGCAACTAACCTAATACCGACGTCACAAATTGCTACAGTTCCGTTTACAAGCACAAGGTGACCATGTCATGGGCAGAATTCATATTAAAATAATATTAACCATACCGAAATAACCATAGTACTTATTATTAAACTGATGAAGGCAATCAACACATTTCAACAAAATTTTATTCGAATGACGAATATTGAAACCAGTTTTTACACATTAATATTAACTATTTTATAAATAAACTCATATCCGGAGTTCCGCTATATTAACTGATAAAATACCACATTAATTGCGAACTTATTTCGATATAGTTAAAGTTGTTTTCTCATTAGCTACAATAATGTTTTATGGACATGTGTGACGAAGGTTCTATCGGTTTGTTATGAAAAGGGCGTTTCCTGGTCGCGGAATAGCCCTTATTAGTACTTCCGAATAAATTGTATAATAAAATAATATATCATATAAAAATTCTTCCTGTATTAATTGTTTATCGACTTCCTATATTGTGATCTATAATATTAACGTTGTTTTTTATCCTTCCGGAAGAAGATCCCTTCCTTATGAGACCACTCCGAACTTTTCCGTGTATTTGCTTGCCGAATACACGGAAAAGTTCGGAGTATATGAACGTATTACGAAATAAGTAATAGACACATTGAATTGACCTGACTTACATTAAATCGTAAGAATATTGTTCCTAACGACGAATCAGAAAAGGAAGAGATTGATATGACGGCAGCACAAACATGAAACATACAAGTCGACCATACAACGCCCCTTTTTAAAATCTAAAACAAATTAATGTGTGTATGAAATTATCTCTTTGGTCGTTTGTGTGGGAGCTTTTGAAGAACTTCTAATCAGACACTCCAATCGGGTGATAAATGGCCTTGAAAGTGTCATAATTCATAACAAAGTGTGCTTAATAACCGCAAAACCGCACATTACTTAACATGTGTACTTCTATTAGTACTTATCGTATGATATCTGCTTTCTAAACATTAACGCTACCGGAAAAATCGCTTCAGGGAAAAACCGCAAGACCACACATTTGTTTTTTGTATAATTAGAGACATACATTAGCTTCTCATTAGAAGATTCATTAAATCATGGTCGACATGAAATATACATATAAATTAATATAAAACGTTATACATAAATTAAGTAATCTGATTGCAAACTACTCCAATAGTTCTTTTATGTAAAAAAAGAATTTTACTGAAATCATAGAAATTTTCTATATAGAGAAGTTTTCAAACCGGCTCATATTCGCTAGTTGATTATACAGTTTGCATGCCTACGATAGCGGGAAAAAGTTGCAAAGCGACCGACTACGAAATACGCATCACGTACTATGCCTTACGAACGACGCGCTACGAACAACTGACTACAAACTACGCGCTACGAACTACGGGTTACAAAACGACGCACTACGAGCGACGCACTACGAGCTACGCACTACGAGCTACGTACTACGAGCTACGTATTACGAGCTACGCGCTACGAGCTACGGCTCTATGAAGCTACAACTTAAGTCTAAGATTAGGAATTAAGTGCTGGGCATGTAGGGTAAGAAACTTGGCTCTACATGACATCTGATTACTTTTTGACAGTGCGAGCTGTATGATCGCGTTTTAGCAACATTTTACGTGAAATCACGCATCACGGAATACTCTTAATTAACTTTGTGAGGTATTTTGATTTATCTAGTTGGGAAAGTACGATAAAAGTGACCTGTGATACAGTTCAGTCATCGGTGGAACGCGGATAATCTTTTCACAATATTAAATAAACTGACCTATTCAGTACAATCATACAATCAATAATGATTTGATGGACATGTGCGTCATCGATATAGTTGGTAAGAATTACCTCGTCCATTTATCACTTTGTGACATTTATTTGCATCAATTGGCTTATTAACAAAGTGGAATTGTCTTGTAAGTCCGTATCTGATTTCAGAGATCTTTGCGCACTATTGCAAATGAAACAAAAGCAAAAAATTATAAAGTTAAGCTCTCTACCCATTTATGTATTGTTAAATACATATTAATCATCATTATATAACAGAATAATGTAGTTTACATATGTAAATAAGTGCTTATACTTATTTATCGTGTATTTAATTATTTTAATAGTACGGTACACAATTACCAGTGTAATTGGTAATTGGTAACAGTGTAATTGCCAGTGTAATTGGTAACCTAAATTATAATTTACAAACCTAAAAGAAAGTGCATCACATTCCTTATATTTTTAACCATTTGTGACAACGACCTCAACACATTTCGCTTCGCCCTATCAGAGGTCAAGAGTCCTTAACCGGTCTAGATATAATCATCGTATTACACCGTATACATCTGTTGTACATACAAAGTTCTTATTTTAAGTACTTACGTATAGTCTTCTGCGGAATACGAATGAAGTTTTATTCGTACTTGACCGATTTTTATAGGAGTGAGGTGTCAAAGTATTTAACCTTCATTTCATGGGGAATTTTGAAGCGTAAGTGATTCAACAGTGTCACTGTGACATTTAATGTGGCGTAGGTGTTTTGCGATACGCAAATAAATAACTTTACCACAGTCATTGCTATTTAGTAAGTTTTTATTAAAATAATGAAGCTTTGGCTGCTTCGTTGGCCGAGTTGTCGCTAGTGCGACTACCGGGCAAGGGGTCTCGGGTTCGATTCCCGGGTAGGGCAAATAATTACTGGGTTTTTAAAAAAAAATATCAGTAGTAGCACGGAGTCTAGAATTGTGCCCGGTATATGGCAATAGGCTCACCCCCTCACATGGGACTCATAACATAAATAGTGAAAAGTGGGTGTGTAGTTACATTGTACAGTGGTATAATGTGCACCTCTGCCTACCCCTTCGGGAATAAAAGGTGTGATGTTATGTTGTGTTATGGAGCTTTGTTACCTGGCCAGGTAGAAAGTATCTATTTATTTGTTGCAACATCTGTTTTTGCACCTTGCTATTTAAATGTGTGTGAATCATTAGACAAAAACGTGGCTGAAATAGATACACTTAGGTAAACAGCTATCTTTATCTGGATAGGTATCTGTAATAGATCTACATATTATAACTGTTTCGTATTTATTTTCTTAAACATTTTCCCCTGGATTCTTATAGATAAAAGTGAGACTAGAGCAAATCTAGACCGACCGGCTAACTGTTGTCTTTTAGTAAAAACGGCACGGAACCTCGGTTTATGTCCGGTATATGACCAATATATTCGCCTCTACTATTTGGAGATTTTATAGATAACTTATGATAATAGGGCTTTTTAGTGATTAGGTATTATGCCTTTGCCGCCAATATAGATACAATATATGACGTAAATTATGTAACAGTGAAATCGAAACTGTAACGTTATTCTCAAAAAAGAAATGTTATTCTCATACCTGTAGATTAACGTCCAGGAGTCCAATGTTGCGGTCTTGTTCAAGTATCTTCACGCCGAGAGCAGGGAGGTAGCGGCCAGCGTACGATTCCCCAGCGATGTATAGCGGAGCCTTAGCGACCTCGGGAAACACATGCCGGAACTGTCTCAACGCGTTGTATAAATGGCTTGAACACTGAAACATTAATTAATTACTGTATTACTTAACAAATCTTGCTGTTTCCTCATGTCCTACATTTCATCATTTCATGTGATCGGTCTACTATAGTACTGCTAGTAAAACTGATACCCAGAAGACTATGAAATAGTAATATATTTAACTAGCTTTTACCCGCGACTTCGCTCGCGTCACAAAAGGATAAAAATTAGCCTATGTGACATATATACCAATACACACAGCGCCATCTATACCGATACTTTTGTTTTCCCTCGGGAATATCAAATTTTTCCGGGATAAAAAGTACCCTATTATTTAATCCGGACTTCTAACGTTACGTCTGCAAAAATTCAAAGCAATCGGTTAAGTGGTTACGGCGTGAAAGCGGAACAAACAAACTCACTTTCCGATTTATAATATTATATAGTAAGGATTACAAGACTATACCTATTACTCAGCATTGTTTCATCTTGAAATAAACGTATCTTTTAGTAATGAGATAATTATTATTCATAATAGAGTCAAGTCTCTTATCTTTGAAATATGCAGGATTTTAATACAGGCATTTTGATATAACTAGCGAAGCGATCTCGAATGCGAACAACGTGGGTCAGCGGGAAAAACAAGTATTATGTTTTGTGTAATTGTAACCTAAGTGTAAATGATCACAGTCTATTCACAAATGCCCTTGGGAATACTATATGCCTGCATATAATAGATAGATATCAAATTATACCTATGTTCTTTGTTATCCCAGTGTTAAAATTGAACCATGTCACTGTTCAAACAAATCTCAAGGTCATTTAATCGCAATTTAATTTATCCTGTGTGTTATTCATGCTTTTAAAAATGGGTTTTTCCCGAATACCTTGGGGTACTTATCGTTGTTTAAAAAACAGAAAATCATGTTAGTATTTTACCTGTCATGAATTCGTGATATAACTGCAGGAAAAAATAGTTATTTATGAACAAAATTGTAAGATTCTTGATACTGATTAGGTAGTGTCAATTATCGTATACCTCTTTGTATGTACAGAATAAATATTGTTTTTATTTACTCATAATTATTGCAAACAATTCCCAGTATCTGATTACATTATGTAAGTAGCTACTTGTATTTATTTATTTATGCTGTTTGATAAACTAAGCAAAAAATATTCTACAAACTTAAGAGTAAAGAAACTATGTTCTTTGGTTTGCAAACACAATAAATAATACAATCAATCTTACAATAGTCTGACTATCCGAGATAGTACCTATTTTCAAAATGACGTCTATAAACGTGTGAATTGACCCACGTGTTAAATTAATTTAACTAAACATTATACAGTCGCTAATGTGTAAAAAATCATGATTAAAAATTATTATTGTTCTTTAAAATTATCTAATATTTATAGCTGAAAAGATGGAATTTTGTTCTCAGCTTTATTAATTTGAAAACTACTGAAAATATTTTGATGGAATTGTATCATATGTATAATCACTTTCAGATTCAAATAGAATAGGGTACTCTGGATCTCTGTAAGTACACCACTGCCAGCCCTAAAGCACACCTACCAAGTGTAACTGCTTTTTTGCAATATATTCGGTTTCCTTATGCCAAGTCAAAAAACTTAAATAACATAGCAAGTCTTTTGTAGACGGCACTTACGGTGAACAGCTACGCAAAGGCACACCCAAATACCTAATTGATAACAGAATACGTCCTTCAATGTGACCACAAACTCAAGCATTAATGGCAAAAATAAATATTAATAACTTGAGCCTAATCACTTCACTCATAAATATAATAGACCTTACTCAATGTTTGAGGAGCCATTCATTTGTTTTTGTGGTTAAATAACAGAAGCTCTTTTTTAAACGACGAAAAAGAGGTCCTTCTTTATAATTATGTCTAGTGGTACATATATATAGTACTTAATGTTCCTGTAGAATATAAAGAAGAACTGTAGGACGTTCCTTGTAAAGGAAAATAAAAAAGAGAAGCTTGTGTACCAGATGTTTTATAGGGATATCAAAAGACATTTTGTTAATCGACACACTGTAATGGTGATCTATCTAACACAGTGAAGAGTATTCTCAAGGTCGGATAATGTTAGTAAAGATATATCTTTACTAGATATTATCGAGTTGTAAAAGAAAAAATGGCTACTGGTGCGCTAGCCCTGTCAGGGTCTAAATTATAAGTTATCGTTTTACTTAAATGCAAATGAATGAAAAAATTTCGTCTGTCAGGAGTGGTTCCCCGTACCACAGTTTTTCATCTAGATTTTTTAACATCAAATCGTGCTCACGTATTTATATTATTCAATAAACATTCTAAAGTATTTACTCGATTGTCAACGACACGATAGAATTGGGACACGCTTCAATGATTTCTTAATAAAAACGTGACGGAACAAGACAAGTGTCACTTCAATGAAATAGAAGACTTCTGTCAATATGTTTGTTTAACTTCCTATAATCTACAAACATGCATATGCAACATAATAACATTACTTACACTTGGTTTTCACGGTCAACTTATTGACATTTTACGATAACATTTACGATTATGTACACTCGGTATAGTCAATTAGTTCATAACATAGGTATATTATGATGGAAATAACCTCACAACACATTTTTACCTGAGTTACCTACCTTAATTATTTATTCCTAGTAAAAATGACAATGAATTAGTTGACAAAAAGGATAAGTTATATATATTTTTTTATATGGCATATGCCGTAAATAGATTAAATCTGTCGAGTTTACTTAGCATAAAGTTATGTACTAGGTGTTGTGTAATATCCTTACCGTCTCCATATCTTGTACGAACCCGTCAGGATGGTCCGTGAAACTAAAACCAGCTCCTATAGGGTTGTCGATGAAGAGTAAAGAGTAATCTCTCCCCCACGTCGATTTGCGTACTGAAATTAGAATTTACAGAATTGTAATTAGGTTTTTGTTTTTTACGTATAGTAAAGGCATACCTACTTGTAGTTTTTTTATTCTTTATGTCAGCCCTATTTACTTGTAGTTAACATTTAATAAGAAACGTGAACTATTATTATATTCATGCAAAATCATACTAAGACGAGATCACACAGCTTGCACTGACTAAACAGATCTTCTAAATAGCCAAGTTTGTAACTCTGTATGACTGGTCATATAGATATATCTGGATATATTAGTGCTAATGTTGCACTTGAATTGCGGGGAAAGGGTGTAGTGCAGTATACACCCGTAGCGCGTAGCTCGTAAGTAATTCGTAGTGCGTAGTACGTAGCACGTATCGTGTAGCTAGCGGTGTTAAGTCCGTAGCACGTAGCTCGTAACGCGTAGTTCGTAATGCGTAGAATCGTATTAACACTTTTAGTCTCGCAAACCGTGGACTCAAATGGTGAATCGGACGTTATCACTTTAACAGTAACAAAGAAATACTATGACAGATTCTAACTCAGCTAGAGATAAAAAAATTTCAACAATTACTTACCCACATACCTGAAACGAAATTGAAATTTTATTATTATGTCATGTAGGCACTATAAACAATCCTCTAGTTACCTCATTACATGCTTTTAAAAAAAGTTGAGTAGGATGTCAAAGCAGTGTCTAAACAAGGTTTTTCTTGTTTACATTTCTAAGTTTGTGATGCGTTATTCAAATGAATGTAGATACGCATAATTTAAGAATGTTTACCAACTCGACTAAGTGGAGACCATCGAAGATTCAATGATGAGTAAGTTCGTAAAAATTATGTGTAAGTGGGCACGTGTGTACATTTCCTTATGTTATTTAACAATGAATTGTTTATTTTGTCTGGATGGCAATGGTGATACTTACGGTATCAAGAAAACTGAAAACTGTTTTCAATAACTTTGAATAAGACGTGTCCAAAAATGACTATATTTATACCTTCGATGTTAATAAAGACACAATTTGTTGAGCTATAATGAAACAACAACATACATATATGTAATTGTATACCTAACCTAGTATTTAAATATCCATAATTATCAATTTCTACACAAAAAGCAACAAGGAAGGATCATCCAGTCGTCTAATCTGCGGTATTTACATAAATCTTGTATTATGAAATCCGGTTCACTAGCAATATCTTATTCTTTACTTCGTTTGGCCCTCTCAAACCGGTACCAAGTCCGAAAAATCACCTTGACTTGATGCCATACGATACAACGTCAAAAAGTGATAAGTTGTCAAGCGAAAATGGCCGCGAAAGTAAACTACGATTAATTACAAGAGTATTTATTGTGCAAGCAGTTATGAGTCACTCGTATTTTTATACCTTCACCGACCTTTCGATAGTAATTTTTTTACTTGACCCTTATTATGTATGCAATTAAGGTTGAAACTACAACCATAATTATACTGGGCACTTATTCAGACAGACTAATCATAACAACGAAATCGAAATAACAAATAACTTATAATTTAATATGGTTGAAAAGTGGAGCTTGCAACAAAGTCCAGGAAAAGCTAATTTTGTGCCAGAATCTAAACATACCTAGGTAACTAGATCACAATAACATTGATGTGGTTCAACGTGTCGTGATTTAGATTCTCGTACAGAAAAAGAAATTGTTTGAATTAACCTGGCTGCTTGTGTTTGTGTTCGTGTTTTAGAAATTTTCCCTACCACTATCCCGACCGAGGAATAGAGTTACCTATAGCAAAAAAATCATAGTAGGTAAGTAATCATATCCCATTTTACCGATATGTATTTTGACAATCGTTTCAAGTTATTGTTTATTAATTCGTAGGTAAGAGATTTGCTTAAGTTGTAAATATACTGTATAGGTAAATATGTGCAGTAAAATAATATTTGAGCTACTATTAGTAGTAGCTCAAATATTATATATTAAATAAATATTAATTAATATAATATTAAAATCGCTGCCCGGCTTAGGCCGGGCAGCGATTTTAAAATTATCTATTTCTATAAATTTATGTTTATTGGTACAATTTAAAATTATATAATACTTATACAACGCTCACGCATGTTGATCGTGAATAAACCTGAGATGACCAATGCAGAGAGTAGCCCAACCCGTTCTTGTTTAATAACAGGCCAACATTTTTACGAACAGGGATTCCCCACTCGCAATTCGCGTAAACTCATTATATGAACTTGACATTATTAAACAATGAAATACACACACATAATCTACCTCAGTCAGTGAATGTTATTATGACTATTAAATAATCATGAGTAAGGAATTTCCACTATTATTATTTAAGTATTTAATAACAACTTTACGTATGAACTAATAGGTACATATTGGACCTCATGTACCTCTCGTACCTGCTCTATCTATGTACCTCAAGCTTGTAATGTGTTGTCCTTCATATTATTGTTGTATGGTATATGCAAAAAATGATCAATAAATATATGACATAAATAAATTGGTAATTACGTACCACATTTACTAAAAGTAATCAAAAATACTTAATACCTGCTTCTTTCTAAAAACTTTGGCAGAAATGTGACGTTAAGACCTTCATATACTTAGTTACCAAAAAAATGTATGATACATATTTCGTACAATGAATCTACGAAGTATATAAAACCGCAACAAGTCCATAAAATAAAGGATATGGCGTCATTCCATTTAAGATAACATCTGACAGAATTAGGTCACCCACAAGTTTTGTGAAAAATTTAGTAAAGATTTAAAGTTTCGTTCTAAGAAAGGGTTATTACTATGTTGAAGGTTTACATAATATAAACTGACTCAGACGGTGAAAGAAGGAGTGTATACACAGCATAGGTGTGAGAAACATATTAAACAATTACTCATAGGTACCGATATATATATGCTACTTCTACCTAATGAGATGCGACGTGCCTTATCAACATTTTTGATTACCGTTTTCAAATTTGAAATCTTAAAAGAGATTTAGTGAAAATCTTGCATTGAGATCGGTTAGGTATCAAATTCCTTCGTATTATATATACATTACTTCAAAAACTCTGAACTTAGGCCATCTTTATGGAATTATATAGTCTATCTGTAACTATCTCAAAGCGTATAAAATATAGAAATATTTATAAAACTTAAAAAGAATTGTCAGATTTATCACATGTTTCAATATGCAGGCGCAACGCATCAATTCGCAGTGGGTCCACCTTCCCAGGCCAGTTAGAGCGGCCGGCAATTGTGTTATTGTTATAGGAAATTGCAGTTATCATCCCGCCAGTAGATTTGCAATTTTGCACCCAATGCTTTTTAGAGCCTGCAAAGGAGATTGACCAAAAGCAGTCTAGCAAAGTTTCAAGTTGAAAAATCAAAATAATATAGAAATAATTTTCTTATTTTTTACAACCTTTTCAATTCAGGAATTGTATATTCGTATCCGGAATTATGATGATAAGATTAATAGTAACATAAAAATTGCTATGGAATTTCCGTTTCAAGGACATTGACGTTCCGTGCTAACTTACGAATAAAACTTCGTGTTTACGAATCACGTAAGTAGAACCTTTCGGCAAAATCATCACAAAAATTATATCAACTTCAATAAATAGCTAAATAATTTGTAATATCAATACATTTTACAATGTATTTATTTAGTATTTTGTAGTATTGTTACTTATAATTATTTTGTGTGTTCCGTCTCACGCAGAAGCAACTGTCATAACATGTGACAGACAGAGTGGCGGCATTTGGATTGTAAGGAAAACTGTTTCTGTTTCACTGTTTGAGTGTTTGTTTTGAACTTTTGAATAAATAAGCGTGAGTTCCATGTAGCATACGACAAGATGTTTTTATGTTTAGTTAAGTTTTATATACGCCAAAACGTTTTATGTGTTGTGTTTAGTTGTAATGTGTTGCGGTCACCGGTGACCGCACGGTGTTTGACAGTTTAAACATAATTTTAGGTTATTTTCGTTTTTGTCTAATTACTTAAAAACCCGGATATTTATGGGAAAATGAACGCTTTTATTCGATAATATAATAAGCATGGTCTATAATAAATAAAGATTTATTGTGCAACAACGTAAGACGAAATTCCATAGTTACGTGAACATTCTCCTTTGAGTATGGCAATATGTGGGCATAGTCCAGATTTTTAATTAAATACATAAAAAGATAGTGGCTTAATCCGTCGAGCGTCCGCGTTCCTTATGATCCAACGGGTGCACACGTGACATTTGGAGAAAGAAAGAAAGGAAGAAAGAAAATGCATTTATTTGGCCATTGGCACACGAAAACAAGGATCATTACAATAGAAATAAAACAAATACAGTCAAAATAAAAACAAAATATTAATAGTAGATTTTATGAAAGAGAAAGCAGCATGGAACATTTTTTCTTATGATCCACCGGGTGCTCATAGGGACGCTCGAGGGGTTAATAGGTAGGTACCAATACTAGACTTATTATGATGACTTCATCAGTAGATATTATGAAAAAAAAATAAGGTCATGCCCCTATATAAATACATGTCCATAACTTTATCAACTTGAATACACTATAACAAAGTCGAAAAAGTCACTAAAGTCACAAACTAGAGGTGAATTCAATTCTATCTCGTTCCTTAAGCTCAAAATTAGTACGTTCAACCAACCAAATAAAAAACCGTTCACGTTTGGAACTGATTGGTACCTATTAATTTATACAAAGTAGGGTAAATACCTATTAAGTAACATTATACCAATTAAACTGTAAACATAAAAAAATATTGCTCCATCTATAGATCGTCCAATTTTGAGACGTTCAACGTTTAGCGATGAAGATGTAACTTTTCTTAGTCCACACACATTCTTAGGCTACACATCGAGCTTTACATAACCAGTATAAACTGAACGTTAAATGTGCGGAAGGATAATGCGACGCGACACCAGGATAAACTGGTTTTGTATAGATTGATGTGTGGCCGTGTGTAAGTACCTACATCAAAAAGTTATATTTCCTGGGCTTAAACTAATAAATAAGTCTTACCGCCGTATTTAGAGTCATTTAATGGCTATTTACGGAAACTAATTATACCTGCGCCGACTTCATAGAAGATACAAAAGTATTTTGAATTTACGCAACTTACAAGATACTTTGATAATTGTATTAACTATTTTCTTGTTAAATCGTTTTAATATTTATTTATTTCTGTAATCAATAATCTACTCATGATTTCCTCATATACTCATTAATTTCATCGCTTCGTCTTTCCGTGAATACTAAAAGGGTGTGTCTGTGTGTCATCGTAGTCTATAGGACACGGGAATGCCCGCTTACCGCTTAACAAAGAGGTCAGTTAAAACTAAGTGTTGAAGTAACGGTTTAATGTATTACAAAGAGTTACAAACTTGGTACCATAATTATGAGATCTGGTAGGTTTTGGATAGTGCAATCCTTTTGGTCTTGTCTTTAACATTTGACGTTAAATATTTTCGGGGAGATAGGTAAACCTACGTGCTTTTCAATAAGCGTTATGCATTTAATAATATCTTCCTTTTTTCCATGTGTCTGTCACAAAAACTTAAGAATTAAGTTACATTTTAATACTAAGTATTAAGGTACTCACATTTCAATTCCTTATCCTTAATTTCAAAGGGTCCTATCTCGTCGAAGAGTCCAGCAAGACTCGAAGCTCCTGGACCTCCTTGCAACCACAATATCCATGGCGAGTCCGGTTTATAATTTTCCGCGGGAAAGTACCAAAAGAATAGATTCGAGTTGTACTTTTCGTCGACAGTAAAGAATCCGGAATAACTTGTTCTATTATAAAATAATTTTGGATCCACTAAAGAAAGGTTTCTTGCTTGTTCTGCTAAATTTTTTTTCACTAATTGTGTGAGGATCAACGCTGGTGATCTTGCTAAACATGGTGATAAGCTGAAAAAAAAATAAACAACATTGATTTCCCGCTCAAACAAGGGTTGCCAGTTACATTAAAGTAAATTAAAGAATATGGCATTTGAATATTTATAAACACGATCTTCGTATGTCTACTCAATCATAATTATTATTTCTACAATTTTATTTATTAAGTGGTATGAATAAATTATTTAAAGTCGTGATATTAAACCTGTTTTTTACAAGCATGAACAGGGGTCAGCGCCATTGTTTGTGGTTTAATCGTAATGGCACCTCCTTAGATAGTTAAAGGTCAATCCCAGCTAATTCTCCCCCCTTAAAAAAATAATCCCAGCTAAGTCTCTAATGTACTTATAGGTAGGTACATATTTAAGTACCTAAGTAAACTAATAGGTGTTTGGTAAGTTAGGAATAAGTATTGGGGCATGTAGAAACGTTAACACAATGAGAACCAGAGAACAAACAACCCACGACTATTGAGAAAAATTGCGTTGAATTAACATTGAAACAGTTAAACAATTACTCGAGCACAACACCTTTTCCATGAAATAACTGAATAAGTATTACCTACCACAGTAAAGTGATACTACTAACAGTAAGGTATGTATAAGTAGTTTTATTCAATTGTTATCTATTTATAATGTATCTATTTAGACACCCACACGAATTCTAATGACGAGATATCTTTAAAATAGTTACCAAAAACTTCTAAATTATTCAAAGATAATTAAAAACATCTTTTCGCTGGTAAAATGGTTGTAAATACCTTGAACTTTTGGTTGATATAGTAGAAATTACATATCTACTAAGTATCTAACTACCCACTCACCAATAACTGATAACGCATGTAAACAAACATTTGCACGTCTAGATCGATACTTATTTGCCTCGATAACATATACCACGAAGTACGGAAACTAAACCTAGGTACTGAAATTACCTAATCGATCTATATCTTGCCACTTCCTAGTGAGAACAACACTATCGTTTATACCCTGATTGATACGACAATGAATCAATCAATTTAAACTATTTGCAAGTGCAACGACACCGAATGGCCAGTGCGTTGAATCTAACAAGCATATAATTTAAACTACATAGTTGCCAATATTTACCAATCTATTACAATGCGTGAACAACCTAACAATTATATTATTGCTTGACTTTAAAGTAAGTAAAATAATAATTAACCACAGATGTTAGCAACAGGAAATATAACAATTCTTAATTTAAAAATGAATTTACCTTGCCAATAAAAACAATCCAACGAACACTTTCATTTTTCACCACAGATAACTTAGATTTTATGTGAAAAACTTTTAATTAATAGACAATGTCGTGTTTTTTATTTACGTTTCGTATTTTAAATTTGAGCTGCGATCGCGTTCGCCTGTATTGGGTTCGCGAACCGGACTGAATCACTGGCCCGATTCGAACGCGTGACAATCAGCGATCAGAGAAATTGCACAACAGTGTTAAGTGACGTCATTTCATAATCTGCATAATATCATGTGCGTTTGTATAATTACTTTAACTAAGTACCTCTCTAGTGCAAGTGCAATGACGTTAAATCAAGTTTAAGAAAAAAATTGACAGTAACGGTCGAGTTAGATACATTTGTTAGATACTATTAATTATTTCTTGTTTACCTACTTTAGTTATTCCAGGGGATTACCGCAAATCAATTAGGTAATGGGTATATCGTGTTAAATATAGAACTGGCAATGATTAGTTGAATCTAAGTACCTACCTAACGTGTAAAAACAAGTATCTACTCATAAATAGGCAAGTCTCAAAAATCGATAAACCTAATGACAATGACTTGAATAAAATACGTAGATAAGGATTTTACGCCTACGCTTAATTAATCACGAATTATTTACCGCTAGATGGGTATTTAGGTAAGGTATATAAAATGTTATAGTAAAATGCTGTAAGTAAGCCTTTTTTAAATTATACGGCTAGTTTATGCAGATAGGCTGAGAAGAACTATTAATTTAACGATGTTGGCTCGCATTCTTGACAAAATTGTACTGTGTGCTTAAGTATGCCAAGTAAACTAAAACAATTAATTAATTAGGTAATTTGATATTCCAACAAAACACAATGTGTTTCCCACGACGCCGTAATTCTTAGAAAGTTCAAATTTAAAACGATACAAGGATAAAGAGAACAATATAATTATAAATTAAATAATTACATATTTTTGTTCTAAAATAATGCTAATGAGTTAAAGGCCGGCTTAATAACAGATTTTGATTTCAAATGTTAGGTACTTTTTAATATAGTTTCAACCTTATTATTTTGCAGCAAAGTAGAAAATGTATTACTTACATAAAGATAGGTGGTATCGTATCTACATCTACGTAAGTATGTTAAAAACTTTAACAGAACGCTCTCTTTAACCTCAATCTTATTAGGTATATCATAGTATTATAAACTAGCTGTGCCCACGACTTTGTCCGCGTGGAATAGTGATTCACAGCTCCTCCCCCGTAGAAGATGGCGTGATAATATGTAGTCTATATGTTGACTCGACCTGTTAGTAATATTCATGCATAATTTGAAGTAAATCCATGTAGTACTTTTTGAGTTTAGCCCGGACATACATACATACAGACAAACAGACAAAAATTCTAAAAACCATATTTTTAGCTTCGGTATCTCAACGTAGATCACACCCCAAGCATTCTTTTAAAACAATATTCAATGTACAGTTTTCACTTTTCTACGATTTTATTATAATTATGGAGAATAGAATAGCTGCTAAAGTTGGTATGTTTGTTTGTTTGTTACTCTTTCCCATCAAAACGGCTGAACGAAGCACACACAGGCTACTTTCAATAAAAATAAAGCCACACAAAACATATAAAAATATTTATTATCTAAATACAAACATAAATAATATGATCAGAGGTAGTGGAATATGGTGTTGTTCCTGATGTATTCTTGGATGTACGATCCTTCGAGCAGTCCGTATCGACGGCTGAGCGGTTTGCTGTGTGTCCACCGAGCCACCAAGTTCTCTGCAGGAGCTGGTTTGTCTAACGGCACCATATGACCAGCCCCTCGGAATACGACCTCAGTTAAACGACCACCAGTTTTGTGATACCTGGAAATAAAAGATGTTTTTTCTAAAAAATCGTTGCCCTACACTAGGATTTTCTCCTATGTTATGGGTGCGTTTACAAACATACAAGTTCACACACACAATGACACCCAGACCCGAAACAACAATTTGTGGATCACACAAAGTGTTGTCCCGTGCGGCAATCGAACGCGCGTCACGTTGCACGGCAGCCGGTTGCCCAGCCACCGCAACAACCGTGCAGTCAGATTGTTTTATCATCGAATGTCACCATCGCTTTGCTTTGGTAGATTTTGACGATTAAGGACTTGTCTGAAACAGATTATCCAACCATGTCATTACATAATGTAAAAGAGCCCACAGTCAAACTATTTGTTGGACATCGCGGTAGATTGTAAGGTATACCATGTACCGTTTATTAAACTGTCAAACACCGCGAGGACACTGGTGACCGCAATCTATTGTTCTTTAATTGTGTCTATAATGACGGGTTAAATAAACTAGCGACCCGCCCGGCTTCGCACGGGTGCAATATACATGTAACATATATATAAACCTTCGTTAAGAAACCGCATCAAAATCCGTTGCGTAGTTTTAAAGATCTAAGCATACATAGGGACAGACAGACGGCGAATAGCCACTTTGTTTTATACTATGTAATGATAAATGTCGACATCATTAGCCAGAAGTCGTCTGCTAAACATCGACTAAATTTAAATACCTTTTAAAGGGGAGCTTATGGACCTATACTAAATACCCAAAATTGGCAGGGAAAAATTATCGAGCAAACACTTGAAAGACGCAGCAGATTTATTATTGTACATAGAGTACTATTATTATTTTACTCCACTAATTAAACTTGTAATAGCATCTTGTAGAAAAATCTAATATTTGAGCCAGGAACCTTTTGATCCTTAATTGTGTACACTATCTTAAAAATTAAATTAAAAGTACCCTTAACCGACGAGCATGCATGAAAAGACTGATGACTGTTAATGAAGCGAAAGAGGTATGTAAGAATCATAGCAATTGGCGTTCCATAGTCTCTGCCTACCCCATGGGAGACAAGCGCGAATTGCGTTATTTATGTAATCTTTAAAATCTAGAACAAGAGCAACTGTAGAATCTGAACTAAACTTACACATATATGACTTTAATAGAAGTGCACATCACTTACCCAGCGAGTCTGTTATTGAAGATATAGGGGAACCTGGTGGCGTTGAGAAACTCTTCGGAACCGCTCCACTTCCAAGTGCGATAGTTCTCTGATGTAAACACACAGGGCAGCATCTGGTCCAACTGGCCGCTAGAATATAAAGCACCGGTGAGTACTTCGAAGTTAAAAACTTTACTGTTAAGTTTCAAGCCACGATGGGGTCCCATTGCGATAATCAACATCTTCAGTTGTGTGTGTATGTTCCACCACCTCGTTCATTAATTTAATATGAGTGTAAGTCTTACGATAGTTAATAAAAGTAAATAGACACTTACCAATAAGCAAGCACTCGATAATGTTCCAAAAGTCTTTCAAACATAGGTTTAGTGGAGCTCAAGAAGTCTGGTGCCAAATTCACGTTTACAGTCATGTTAACCCATTCGAAGTTGATGTCACCAACGTGGATAGCTCTCTTTACAGGTGTAGTCTTCAGAAAGCTGACATACTTCCCGACAAGGAGGTCGTCACGGAGGAAGTTGTAACCGTGCTTCTGGCTGGATATGAAGAGGAGAACTGATACTAGACTATTCCATTTCTGCGAAGAATTAAAAAGATAGTTAGGTGATGAACTTTTTAATTCATTTTTGTTTACGAGATATCGGTACTCAGAATCGGAAAAGACTAATCAATGGAGTTTCGTGCTTGTTCTTCTACATTCTTAGCTACATTATGGAACGAGCATCTAGCTTCACTGATGGACAGCCTGATAGACTATTATTTACTCGGAACAATAACTAAAGCATTATTTATTTTGTATTTGTTGATGTTTCAAAACTACCAAATTATGGTTTAATTGAAATAAATGCTTTGACTTTGACTTCGGCCTTGCAGTTTAATAGCAACGAGTTAGTAGTCCCTAATAGGCATAGTCTGAATGTCTTCCAGGATACCAGAATCAGTGAAAACTTCTAAAGGGTTAATCCTTACTAATATTATAAATCAGAAAGTGAGTTAGTTTGTTTGTTTGATTGTTCCGCTTTCACGCCGTAACTACTAAACCGATTGGTTTGAATTTTTGCAGACGTAAAGTTCGAAGTCCGGATTAAATAACAGGGTACTTTTTATCCCGGAAAAAATTAATATTCCCGAGGGAAAACAAAAGTATTGGTATAGATGGCGCTGTGTGTATTGGTATATATCCCATAGGCTACTTTTTATCCTTTTGTGACGCGAGCGAAGCCGCGGATAAAAGCTAGTTAATTATAAATTGGCCAAAAGTTTAGTTAGTGTTAAACTAATTGAACTTACATTTTTAGCTTCAATGCTGTTGTTGTTCCTGATTGACTCCTGGAACGCGTCGATCAGAGGCTTCACCATCTCAAGCTGCTCTTTCTCCAGTAGACCGAAGTAGTGGAAAGGCAAAGCGATATGGGATATCACCTCAGGATCCACGTATGCGTTGCCAATTATAAGACCCTAAAAAGACTTTACACTTTATACCTTTCATCACTAAAATAATGTTCAAATAAACATTGGTGACTATCAAAACCACAATTCACTTTTTCAGTAGGTGCTTAACATATTAAAAGTGCTTGCTACCCACGAAATTGTTAATCCATTCTTGAGAATTCGATTACGAAACTAAATTAATTGTAAAAAGAAAAAGACTGCATCTTTAAAAAGATGAAAAAATAAGTTTACTAACGAAAAAAAAAACAACTAAAAACCTACAGTCGGCTGCGCGACAGTCTACTGTAGGCTGCGCGACATCGCCGCGACCGCGCACCAGGTTCATGTGGAAAACCCCTCTGTGGTTCGAAACTAATAGAGCTTTGCTCAGTATATTTACGTGAGTAAGCCGCGATTTTTAGTTAATTTAGGATGTCTCACGATAATTATTATAATAACATAGAAAAAAAACAATTTAAACAATTAAAAATCAAAGAGTTACCTGTAGATTGATTTCAGACTCTAGTTTTTCCTTTCGTTTGTGTATTTCCATCGCCATAGCAGGAACGTATTTCCCAGCATAAGATTCACCGGCTAAGTACAACGGTACCGTCTTTAGTTCAGGGAATATTTGCAAAAACTGCTTCAGAGCAATGAAGAGATGGTTTGAGTACTGTGAAACAAAAATTCTTGTTAACCCTTAGAGCGTCACGTCAGTCACCGGTGCCTGACGCTAGTGGAGGTTTGACTTTCACCATTTTAAACTTGGCAGTTAAAGTATTAATGAAGTGTGCAATGTTTTGAGTTTGTTATTATTTATCACTAACTCATCACCATTTATTTTACGAATCCCATGTATATTAAAGGGTGAGGTTAATCACATACAAAAGACCGAGTCTAGTCTAGTCCGAGTCTTGTCTAGTCCAAAGCTCTATAATCTTACTAAAAGTTATTCCAAAAATACAGAAAAAAACGGGTTTTGAATCGAACTAAAGACTATTGCTAACCTGAGAATAAAGCAGTTGAGTTTATTTTAATCGTCTCGTCTCCTTTTTACGACGCGCGGCTTGTAGGGCTGGACATGAGGTCGTTGCCTTGCACATAATAATCGGCTAATTTTAAGTGTAACTCTATATCTTGATAGTCTTACAGACGATAAATCGTTCTGCCTGAAACCTATAAGGATGATATCCTTACCGTAGCCATATTCGTAGTGAATCCCTCGTTATGTTCAGTAAAGCTGTAGCCAGTGCCGACGGGATTGTCGATGAACAGCAGGGAATGGTTGTGCAGCCATGTGTGAGGGTTCCCTGCAATTTATTATGTCATTACACCATACATACATATATACACATAATATCGCAACTGCTTAATAATTGGTCTAGTCATTGGTGTAGTGATTGGAACAACAGTACCTTAAACTCACTAACGCCACCTAGTCATTACAAAATCAATAGCACTATTACTGTTTGTATTATTATCATGTCGTTTCTTTTTAGAGTTGGCTACTGTACGCAATATGAAAGGACCGGCTCAACCGGGGAAGTACTACCTTCTCACAGTATACCAACGTGAAATGGTGACGCAATGTTGATACGTTTTGTCAGGTCAATTCTGAATGGCGAATCCGTTTCATTGTGCCCTTATTGATGGGAAGCCCCCTTTCTGACACTATTTGGTCGGTAACTTAAGTACTTGTCATTCCTCTGTGTTGCTGCAACTTGCAACTGTTGCAAGTGTATTTAGCTTACCGTCAAACAGCCCGGAAGCTTTGTTAAGTTTTATCTATAAAATGTCACAACCAATGACCTTAAGTAAGTAATAAAAAATGAACGTTCTATTTACGAATGCAGAATACAAATTATGTGGTATTCAACCCAATGCAGATAAATGCAGACGTCTTACTTATAAGAGAGGAATAATAAATTGCTTTGTTTTCCTGTTTTGTAGTTACCTCAACGATATGTCGGTAGTTGTATGAAAAAATAAGCATTTTTTGAAATAAACATACCTATGTTATATAATTAGTCTGATTCCTGGCTATAAGGAAAACATAAATAAATAGCCATATAGATAAATACCTATATCTCGGTACCTTTGTCATAGGCTCATATAGCGTTGTAGAATACTATTCTACTACGATTAACGTAGATAGTGTAGTAGGCAGTAGGTCTATTACCATTCCAGAGCAGGTCTTTTTCAGAAGACCCGGTGCCCCTTACAGGTGCTGAGGATGATACACTCAAAAGCTGGGCGCCTTTTGAAGGATTCCCCCCGTCATCAAAAAAGCTCTATTACCGTGTACTACGCTATAAGAGGCAGTTAGCCTGTGTCTTTGTGAGCTTTTATTTCTTAAGAACAAATTATTTATGAAATTAATATCACACTTATAAAATTCTAAATCAACTTGATTTCAATCCTACTACGAATCTACGATAGGCCATACGCCACTCTTGACCTTTTCGAACTATGTTAGATAATTACTTTGAAGAAATTTATTAATCGGCCATAAATAGCCACATTATCAGTTATGTTGCAACAGGAAGCCAGCACACAATGGTTGTTATTACGAAATGCCTACTTGCTTTCCAGTTATCGAATGTAAGGAAACTATGTCACGATATGGTCACGACATTTCGTTAATCAATAGAAATTGATAACATTGACGGAACTATCACAGACACGTGTTTCGAGGAAACTAAGGAAGTCTGTCGATCTTTGAGATTAATTCATAGAAAGTGACCGATGATGAAAATATAAAACGAACCGTAGACTAGCCTAGCTGCCAACATCCCTGAGTTGTGAGTTTGTAAGGCACTTACGTTTCAAAGTTGAGTTCACTACGGTAAACGGTCCAATTTCATCGAAAAGTCCAGTCAAGCTGGAGGCTCCTGGCCCTCCTTGGAGCCAGATGATCCATGGGCTCTCGTTCACTGGCTTATTCAACACCGGGAAGTACCAGAAGAAAATGTTCGAATTATATGTTTCGTTCACCGTTAGGAAGCCAGAGTAACTCTTGAATCCCAAGAAAAGTTTCGAATCCACTCTAGCAGCCCTTTTCGCCTCCCTCGCTTTACCTTCCTTCAGGTAAGGAGTTAATATCAGCGCTGTTCCATTATCAACTCTAGCTTCTGGTTCACAAGGTTTATTACTACTTGTAGTATTTGTATTAGTATGATTGGCATCTAGTAGGTTATCTTCGACTCGTGTGTCGCACGTTTTCTTCGTAACATTCGTGTTTTCATCAATCGGTTTCTCGTGAACCTTGTTATCGGTATTATTATTCACAATATTCACCTCAACCGTATTGTTTACAATACTTTGTTGGGTTTTTACTGGTTTCTCATCTATTATTAAATTATTTAATTCATCTTTTTTAACTTCAGCTACTCTACCAAATACACTGAAAAATAATGGAATTATTACAATTATTAGGTAGGTACTTTGTTGTTTAAAAATAAAGGACTGATTATGTTATTCATTTATAATTTTGTAATTCGAGTACTGATATCATACAGTAAAACAATTCGCAGTTGTTTTATTTAGTCTGAGAGACGGTTAATAAATATCCAAAGGTTGAGGTCAACATTATTGCGAAGGACAACATATTTGCTCACATCATAAGGTCCACATAATAAATCAGACTTTTATTTTTTTACTTTTACCAGTTTATATTATGGGTCCCATGTTGACCTAATAAGGGATGATACATGTTTATGGGTGTACTAAGTACCTAGAATAATTTACGAAAAATCAGAACATCCCACTGAGAATTAAGTACAATCCACTTGCCCGCCAATCGTTAGGTACAAAGTTGTGAACTTAGTATCGAACTAAGAATTTGTTAGTAGATTACGCCGGTAATTTGTTTATAATATACCTAAGTACTACCTAATGAGTATAAACGGATTAAAACGGCAATAAGGTATATGACCATCGCAGAAATGCCGTGTGACTTGTATCTAAATTGTCTACACAGACTTAACGTACATTCTTACGACAGCACATTTCAAGGTTACGTGTACTTACTCTCATTTCAAAAGTTTTATTTTAGGTAGGTATTCATCTAATCATAAGTTTTCGTACCACAAATTCCGTACCGATATTACTCATTAGGTAGGTATAATAAAACAATAGGTAATATAATAAAACAATTAGGTATAATAAAATATTTGTTCAATAATCTACTAGAAAAGCATTCGAGCCTTATCTTAACAACCATTAGATATACCGTAAAATATGTGGTTTATTTATAATTAAAAAAGAAAATTTACAAAATATTTTTAAACTCGTTTAGCATTAGCACTATTCCAACACGTGTAGACACGGGAATTTGCAACTTTATCGCGGAAAAATCCTGTCTATACATACATTTTAGCACCAAAAAGAAAAGATAGTAAACAAAATCTTACCTTATTACGCACAAAACTAGAATGAAAGTCACATACTTCATTATAAGTAATTTGTTTAGCCCTAATTAATTAAAACGTGCGTCGGTTTGATGCATGGCTCGTGAACTAAGTCTGTTCGCACTCCCGGGGTAAGGCATGTACATTATCATTTGAACTGTGTGATCCCATGTATACTGATACCAATGTAATTCGCTTTTATTTGTACGCTGATATTTTGAGCCTGAGTACTCAATGAATTATGATTCGACCGTATCGCAGGGGTCCAGTGATGGTATGCTACTACATGTTACAACTTCAATTCCTGTTGAACAACCTATTCTTTATAGTTTTTTTGGACTAAAGAACAGGGTCGAAAGTACGGAAGAGGCAGAGTGGTGCTAACTCACTTATTTTCTTGAATATTTTGAATTTTTAATTAGGTAAATTAGAATAGGCAGTAAATGGGACAAGCTCGCCACAACCTCCCAAAACCGCTGCAACTCCTATAAGCCAGGATCTACAGTAGATACAACCATGAAAACACCGGAACACTGAAGTCCGGCGCGTCCCAGGGACATGAGTTGGTTCCCGCAACGAAGTGAATCAGAAGATATTATAAGAGGAGAAGAAGAAAAAACTATGGTTTCCACTTCCATCGGTGAATTACTGCAGGAGACAGAATGAATTAAGCCGTAAGGCACAAAGAGGCAGTAAGTTAATCTATTATCAAATTACGATGGTAAATGCGTGTATTAAATCTACGTCAGGGGTTTTTTTTAAGGGGGGAAAATCATCGAATGACTGCTCCCGCCTGAGTGAGGCGGAAGGGAGTGTCAGACTCTTACTGTCTAAAAACCACCCCGTTCCTTCTCCTGCACGTCGAGCCGGAGCCCCGGTTACCCGTTAGGTTCTCCGCAAGGACTCTCGAAGCGCTTTTCGCTCGGGCCTGCCGCTGTTGCGGGCACGTAGCCGTTATAGAATACAGAAATGAATGTAACGAGCGACGGCTGCGTAACCGCAGAGAACTTGTGAGTTTTGAAAATAAAATTTCTATTCCGCCATCGCGGCGGGCGCTGATGAAAATCGCGTCGTGAGTCCGTAACGTAAAAATAGGTATAGGTACCTAGTAGGCATATCTAAATTCAGTAAATTTACTTGGCCTGCCTCACTGAACCTCATCTATCAATGTTCATTGATGAATTCGTGAATGTGATTCGTGAACGTAACCTTGACTTCATATTTTAAAATTTCTTAACCGTATAAAAGTAGGCAATAAAAAACACAACAACTAGAAATATTGTAGTTAATAATATAATAGAATAAGAATTTATACAATAACTTGCTCATCTACCTATTGAAATTTAATTATCTATACGTTTGTTTAAAAAAATAAGACAATACGTGTCACGTGTGAAGTCACAAATCTCTAACACACACACACACACACACACGCACATGTATATGTATAGGTCCGGAACTAGTAGATACTCGTGAGTTTCGTGCGAAAATCCAACTTGGTACACGAATCACGCATCGTGTGGAGTTATAAGATAAGGAAAACGATTTTCAAATACATAAGTAGAAGCAGACTATTGAGATTTTTTCCTTTACATCACAAGTGGTAAAATGCATTATTATGACAAATTTGTATGACAAATTTGTATGACAAATTATTATGACAACATGAGGTTCTTCAAGAGGGCAGTAAATAGATTTCTTAAGGGTCGGCAAGACGTATGTAATGCCCCAAGTGTTGCAGGCGTACCTACATAGGCCACGGTAATCGCTTACCATCAGGTGGGCCGTGTGCTTTATTACCACCGTCGTGATATAAAAAAATAAAAAACCTGAGTTACATATATATTATTAATCTTAAACTGTGCACATAAAATTGTGCCAAAAATTTATGACTTTTAGAGTTCCTGAGAACTTTACGGTTCGCGACGTTCTTCTGCACATTGATTCTGAATTTCAATTATAGACGGGGCCGAATTCTCTACATATGTTTACGTTCTTAAACAGTCATAATATACGTAATTTACTTGATAAGTAAAAATGAAGTCATTTAAACCTGACACTGATTGTAGACCCGTTTAGATAATAGTAGTAGACAGTGTATTAAAATTAAAAATGTAATTAGTCCGTCATTTTTATTTTGTCGTAAAAAAACAATTCTTAGTTAGATAAAACGGAGTTAAGTTTAGGAGTGGGAGGTCGTTACGTCACGCTACCCTATAAAAAGTAGAAAATCGTGACGTTACACAATATTTCAAATCAATATATCGTCGAAAGTTTTTCATTTTGTAAGAAAAGAAAAAAATACGTGCCTGTTTTAAAATAATCTACGAGACGGACATTAAAATAAAATTTAGGAGACTACCTACCCTATTAGATACCTAGATTAAGTAATTTAGATAAATAATAAAGAACCAGAGTAAAATCAATTTATTTATTGTTAAGTATAGTAACAGTCAGCATACATAGATATACAAATACAATATACATACTTACATACATATTATAGTTTACGTCAAATAATTCAGCTCTAGTATTCAGTCTATGACTACAACATTATCATTACATTGCGCATTAATGTTAATAAAGAATAACGATGCACATTTAAATATAAACAGACATACATTGCGACGTTTTTCACATACATGTATAATACTTTTTATATAGACACACAGTATTTTGATATACCTATCTGACATATAATTGAGTGTTGTTGAAGTTCCTAATGACTATAATATTAAAATGACTGTTAATTGATTTTTATTAGTAGGTAATCTTAATTGATAGGAATTTATTTATTTATTTTTCGGACATAATGTTGCTTTCCAAAGTTACAACAATATATAACTTATAAAAAAATGTTTTTCTAATTTATAAACAATAAAATTTTGTATGAAAATCAACAGATCAGATTTCACAAATCTAAACAACAGAAAAATACATAATCACATAATCACCAAACGAAAGAAAATGTTAACGAAAATACTGAATGATCATATTATTAACGCTACCTACATCTACCTAAGTATTCATCATACATAATTATAAAATAAATAACAAAAAATATCACATTGATTTATGTACGAAAACTCACATTTTCTACAATTATCATTATGTACAGTGTGCATAAAAATAACACAACCATTTTAAACTGAACAAATATAAAAAAGGTATCTCTTTCCTTTCCATTTTTCATGCGTCTATCTATCTCACTCAGTCCACAGATTAAATTGGCTGTACTACTTTATTTAAGAGCATTGCGCAGCACACATAAAAGCGAAATATTTTAATTGATTGAAATAATTATTTATTGAAAACTTATCCCAACATCAAAAGACATTTATTTTATTCTTTTTATATTTATTACACATTTGTAGGGGAGCTCCGTAATTGTGTCTGATAATGACATAATGAAGAGATTATACATAATAATTTATATTTTCATCTTAGATTGCCTGATGGAAACAGAGCAAACCTCTCAAACCATTACCTGTTATTTCCTTTGTTTTATTTAATCAGCTCTCTCTCTCTCTCTCTCTCTCTCTCTCTCTCTCTCTCTCTTTCTCTCTCTTAGTTAATATACTGGACCACCAAACCTGGATGGTTAAGCCTTTGTCTGCCAATAGAAATTTATTGATAGCAAACCCTCCGCTAATGTCGGTTACCTTTTAATGGGATAAGCCGATAAACGAGTAGACGGTTCACCTGATGGTAAGCAATCGGCATCGCCCATGTACACCTGCACCCTAGTGTAGTGGCGTTAAAAGTGCGTTACCGGCCTTGTGGGTATTAGGAATTTGAGGAATGTCGGGAATTCAGGGATTATGGACATTGGAGAAGGGTGGATAGTTGTAGTTGGGACTCAAGTAACCGTCACTCACACGACGAAACACAAGGTAAGCGTTGTTTTACGTCGTTTATCTGTAAGGCGTGAGGCAGTGGTATCACTCCGGAAGCATGGCTCTCCCACACTTCACCTAACTCAGTGTTAATCAGCTACATCACATGTAAATCAAGCAAGTTGCTGAAGGGCTCCCCTACCACAAAGAATCACCATTAAGTTTACATTGAACATTGAGAACAAGCTACATGTATTACCTTCAACAATAATTAGTTCAAGTGACACTTATCTGCCGGTAATTGGTAACTAAACAGTCTTTAATGTCCGCCATGACAGACGTCAGTCGCGCAATCTCAGTGTGTATCATCTCCAGTGTGGTTATGATCTTGTTTGTCCCGAAGACCTTCTCCCGTTCAATAGACAGGAACGCTGAGGCCTTGTCGTCACATTCTTAAAAAAAAGTTAAAAGTATTTCGTTAAAATCTTTTTTAAATGAGTGCCGGCTAACGATCATAGGATTTGGATCTTTCAACCTATCTTACGTGGTAGTTTAATAAGTCTAATTAAAGTTAAAAATTCCATTTATTGGAATTATAACATCACGCCTTTTATCCCCGAAGGGGTAGGCAGAGGTACACACAGAGGTAACACCCACTTTTCACTATTTATGTTATGAGTCCCATGTAATAGGGGGTGAGCCTATTACCATATACCGGGCACATTTCCAGACTCCTACCACTGAGATTTTTTTTTAATTGAATTATATTGACAGTAAATTCCATTAAAAAGATTTTCAACTTTATTATATAAGTTTATGGTTGAAAATCTTTTAAAAATTCACAAAGGAATTCAAAACTTTATAGCAATGAAGTAGAATATAGATCTACCTGACTCAACACACTGTTCATTTCTCGTTCCACCTTCTGGTTTGCAACTAGAGTTGCTACCTGATGCGTCATAATCCATGTCCGAAGTGACGGGTGAGCGGTGCTTTCTTCGTCGTTTCGATCGAGTACCGGTAGCTAAAACGTTAAATATATTTGTTACTGGGACTATGGTCGTAAAATCTTCATGAAAAATCCCATTTCAAAACGAAACAAAAACATTTAGTTTATACGATTATAGAGAGTACACAATAACATAACACATATTATTTTTCGATATTTTACTGATTTCGACTACCTACATCTCTAATAAGATTAAATGAGGGTCCATCTTTTCAATAAAGCAAACAGAAAATAAGCCTGCTAAGAAAAAATAATTTATTTTTCTTAATTTCAATTTTGAAATATACATCTTAGTGCTCACCTAACCCTTTCATATCACCACTTGCAGCCAGATCTATGGTTGGTTTCCTATCAGGTGGACTGCTTGGTCCAGCGCCATTGTCATTGGATGTTTTCTGCCTTTTACGCCTGGCTGATGGCTCTGTTGGGTCTGTTTAATAGAAATAATATAAAGCTAGTATAAGATATTACAACATATTTTTCCAAATATATTTGCTTACTTATACAATTTTTTTTTGCTCCCTTAATGAGATATTAATGAGGGGAACTTATTGTAATAGGTTCAAACAAATACAACAATAATCTACCGACCAATACCTAATAATGCATGACATACTATAAGATGCTATATTTTGTCGATGCAAAATTTTAAAAGAATTTACTGACCATAATACTGATCAATAGGACTGCCATCTGCATTCACTGCATAGTGTTCATCAAAACCCTGAAATGGGAACCACATTTATTACTTACATTAAGTTCCCTAACACATTTAAAACATTTGTATTGTTGTGCCAATGAGAAATGTATCTCATTCTCGTTAATATAAAGATTAAAATTGTATGTAGCGTGTACTATATTGAATATTTGTCGCATACCTCTTCAGACAATGGATCATTCATGATGACCACACCATCAAAAATGTTGTCTCCTATAAGAGCCATTATATTCTCTTCCATCGGTGACAATGGTAGGATCCCTTCTGGCAGTGGCCGGTCTCCATCCTTGGCAGCTTTCAACTCCAACGCTCGACGCCTCACTCTGTACTTCCAGTCACACCAATACTGAAATTAATATTTATTATATACTAGGCTTCGCTCGCATTACAAAAGAATAAAAAGTAGCCTATGTGACATATAACGATATACACAGCCCCGCCTATATCAATACTTTTGTTTTCCCTCGGGAATATCAAATTTTTCCGGGTTAAATAGTACCCTATTATTTAATCCGGACTTCTAACTTAACGTCTGCAAAAATTCAAAGCTATTGGTTTAGTAGTTACGGCGTGAAGGTGGAACAAACAAACAAACTCACTTTCAGATTTATAATATTAGTAAGGAAGTAAGGATATAGTTCTTTGTTTAACTTGAAGCTTGACTTTACAAATTTACTTTGTCCATCGCTTCTTTCTGCCCATTTGCCTGCCAGCTTTATTCTAATTTTTCTTAGATTTTGATTTGATTTTGTGCGGTTACGGGTGACCACCCACTTACACCTTATTTCCAATGTTTAGAGACTACTTTTGTATGAACAAATGGCGTGAATTCATTCATTTTCATAATCGGATATTAAGAAGTTAAATACTATAAGTAATTTTGTATTGAAACAAACCTTAATAAAACTTCTTAAGTTATACCTATCAGTTAGGTAAAAAACATAGACCTTTTATTTTTAAAATATTATGACTGCCTCGTTGGCCGAGTGGTTGCAAGTGCAACTGTCGGACAAGGGGTCTCAAGGGGGAAAAGTATTATTGGGTTTTTTAAAATCTCAGTAGTAGCACGGAGTCTGGAAATGTGCCCGGTATATGGCAATAGGCTCACCCCCTATTACATGGGACTCATAACAAAAATAGTGAATAGTGGGTATTACATTGTACAGTGGCATTAAGTGCCGTAATGTGCACCTCTGGCTACCCCTTTGGGGATAAAAGGCGTGATGTTATGGGATGTTATGAAATAAGTTACATTTATTTGTTTACAAAACTTTAACATTTATGGCTTACCTTGGACCAGCCCTTCCCATCTTTTAATGCACCATTTTTGATGGCATTCAGTTTCTTAGCGCACATGTTCCAGACCTTTACAGTGTGGAACTTTCCCCGCCGTCTGCGCCCTCTAGTCAGGCCCCTAGCCAAGTCTTCATGTTCCTTGAGAAAATCTAACAGAGCAGTCAGTTGATCATAGCTCACTTGTTTTCTTTTGGGTTCTATAAAAAAGTTATGAATTAATTAACACATTGTTTTCCAATCAATCAGTCCAGTCAATTTTTTTTTATAAATTATGGTTTTTATTTGCATGAAAATGATCTCAAGATTTATTAGTGAGCTAAAACATACTTTTTGTTTTCATTTTTTCGAATTTTCCACTTTAATGACTGTTTTACTCTTTTATTTATGTAAAAGAAAACTCTTTTATTACCTTTGCATTTTTATTTTGCACTAATTCAAGCAAACGATTAAAAGAAAAATAAAAACACTTGCCTGCATCCATTTTGTTAGGCTCTTATTTGGCCTTTACTTAAGTTGCTTTCAGATGATTTTTCTTAACAATTGTTAACATTAACGAACTAAAATTTACGAGCAAGGTTTTCTGGCGATATTGTACGTATTTCCACTGTTTAAACTATCGGTTAAAAATCATCTCGTTCACCTGATCGGACCGCAGGATAATCGACGTATTTTCAATACAGTCCACTGTTTTACCGACAAATTATAGACCCAAGGATGCGCGCGCAGTATTCAACTTCAGCTTCATCCTTCAGCGCTTCAATCATGAAATTATTAAGCTCTACTCTGATGTTTTTACAACTAAACAAAAAATAAACAAAACAAAACACTAAACATTTTATATGTGGTTGACATGACAGTTGTAATTGTAACAGAAGTCAGAACAGTTCATTCATTGCCACAATAAAAAATATATAATTTTAAAATATTTAAATTATTAATTTCATTTCCGTTCTTCCTTCTTTTCTTATACCTAGTTATTATTATGTAAACAAAATATTAACAAGGGTTAAGTTGTAACTACCTATATTCTTATCAACATAAGGTCTACAGGTAGACTTTGTCACGGTACCAATGTCCATCTGCAGAAGCACCAAACTATTATTTATAATTATTTTATCTGACTGCAGAAAAACTACAGAATAAATGTTATTAGTGTCACGCATTGACAACATTGAATATAATAGATAATTTATTAACTTGAACACTGTACATGAAACTGAAGGCTAAATCTGGAGAAAGCGCTATTTAGCTTAACTTTCGGGCGCTTCAGTGCTTTATCATCAAAGCAAATATTTGCTTCCCGCCCAAATTCATAATAACCCGAACAAATTAAAAATACCTAGTGTTACTGTGATTTTATAATAATACGTAACCTTTTTAAATTGGTCGTGTATAAATCTTTCAGCTCGTAAAATTGACAAGTGATACATATCGGCTGAGGTTTCCGGTTTCGTAAATTATCTAAAAGCCTAATTTGTAATGATATAGTGGTAATACATTGAATGTTCAATTTGAATTCACTTAAAATGGTATTTGAGACTCTATATTTTCTGCGAAAGGTAAGTTCTAGCTGTAATATAAGTTATCATTACCAAAATACGCGCTCTTCATATATATTTATGTACGTAAATAAAGTAGTTATATTGTTTGTTTTGACGTTTTACCGAAGCTATGTAAGTAACTAATATCTCCATTGATCCTATTTCAATTTCACAGACAGGCTGTAATAAATAATTAAGACAAGATTCTAGCGATTTTATTACCAACGTTGGCATTTGTTATTGATTTTGTGATGTCAATGGTAACTATCGCGGTACTTAGGTACGTACTGTGTCTATATACTCTATCTGCCGGCCGGAAATAGAAGGTTTTTAGAAAATTCAATTAAGCAAAGTAATTTGCTGTCCGTTTCGATAGGGACAGGAACTTAAATAGTAGGTAGGCACCACAGATTATTATATCTATACCATAGATACACATTATACCTAGATACACATATGTACCTATTATACTACCTAGACTAGGTAGGTACATACCTAATATATAAGTAGTATAGTTATTTATGTTTATTTATCCATCCATTGAAATGTTGCTTGCAAGGCGAATTTGTAGGTACAGGTATATGTAAAAAGCCTCTCTTTCCTCTATTCAGATAGGTAGGATTTCAATTCTCCTGTTCTCAATCTTAAATTAAAGCTTTTGTACTTATATAATTATGTGATCGACATAAAAAATAAAACGTTAACCTAATTAAAATTATTAACCGTTTAATAAGTATTTCTTTTTGAAAATCTTATGTACCTAGTAGTCCTGAAGAACAGCAGTAGGTATTGGCATAAAACAACCATGTCAAGAGTCAAGACCTAGATACTTAATCGAAGGTGTTTATTTTAACACCTATCAACTTAATTTTATCCTGTAGCATTTTTTTATGGGGGGAAAATCATCGAATGACTGCTCCCGCCTGGGTGAGGCGGGAGGGAGTGTCAGACTCTTACCTACTGACTAAAAACCACCCCGTTCCTATTCCTACACGTCGAGCCGGAGCCCCGGTTACCCGTTAGGTTCTCCGCGACATCCTGTAGCATAAAGAAACGAACAAATTGCATATCCGTTTCCTTGGCCCAAACGTTGGTTCCAATACAGCCATGGTTAACCGCCGCTCGAAACTACAAGCGGGCTAAAGTTTATTTGTACAGTCGCTTAAACGCCGTCGTGGCGATCGCGTGTGTCGTTGACCGGAAAATTCCCAGAGTTTTTCTTATTTGCTTTTGCCGCCATAAATTTAACTAACGATAGAATGGTTTTTAAAATGTGATCGCTTTGTGTGTGGACAAAAATGGAAATTAAAGTTGATGTGGTGAGCTTTTATTTTATAACTGAAATATTTCACATTTCTTTTTGAAAAGTTAATAAAATAAAATTAATCGGAGATAAAGGTCTTACTTAAGTGATGATTAGGTATTTATAGACTATCCACTATGTAAGCAAAAACGTTATTTATATTTTATATTGAAATATTTAATAATTCATCAAAAAATATTAGGTTATATACCAAACGGGTTGGACTTTGGATTCCCAATAGGTGTAAAAAATAAAAAACAATAAACAATAGCAATAAGTTTTATAAAAAAATAGATGATCCAAATTAAAAAAAACCGGACAATATTAATTAATACGTAAGTTTTAGGTACTTATAAAAAGTTTCCTCAACATTAATGTGAAAATAAATCATACAGTATAGTATAAAACAATTTCATCGGTATAATCTCCCATGTGATTCGTCTCAGTCTGTTTATTATGTACAGAAAAGGATTAGACAGCTATTTCAAAATAAAATAATGGATCACTTGAGACCTATTAATATTATGATGTGTCTACGTTCTTTAAAAAAAGTAGAAAAATTAAAACCTTCAATTACTCAGGTCCAAAGATAGATAGCCAACTCCAGTGCACTTGCAATTTCAATTAACGTGGGTACATCCTTTGTTTTACTACCAACTGTTAGACAGTACAAGTAAACGACAGACATATCTACATACAAATCTAATTTTGTATTACAGATGACTCTATTAATTCACCGCACCCAGTCTTCAATTACTTTAAATAAGGCTGCTTGCTGTTTTTAGACGGTTTAGTACCTACTCCCCAAAACGATGACCGCGCCCTCTTTTGTCAACTAATATTGCCGAACTATCATTAATTTTAATATTTAGGGCCGGCTTAAGTGAGCAGTTAGGTTGATTTCTAATTATTTTGAGCTCTTTGTCCGATTGATCGATATGGATGGTGGTTAGTTGGTTAGTTACTGGAGTTAAAACGTCATTTGTTGAATCTATTTGAGAGACAATATTGCAATTTAAATTATAGGGTTTCTCATGTCGGGTAGCAATTTGTTATACTATTCTACATCAGTCTGTACTTGTTGTTGACTTCCTTCTCCAATTAGAGCGCGTTTTTAAAACTAATGTCGTTTGTGAACACTTTCTACTTCACCTAACCTTTATACCAGGTACATTAAAACTTTTTGGAAACTAAAATACATTCTTGCACTATATCAGACACTTAAGACTAAAAACTGCTGAATTACTTAGGGAATTACTAATAACAAAATGTTCCCGAAAATGTAAGAAATAACAATAAATCTCCGTCAAGCCTTAAAAAATACTATACGAAATAAATCAAAACCAGTATTATGGAGATCTGGGCCCGATATGGGTGCCAATGAAGCGAGGCCATCAAACCGACGCCATTATCCTCCGAACACCTTAATGTGATTTGAATACAAAAAAGCCGTTAAGTGCTTTCTTACTGCGCTAGTAAACAATGAAATATTATGGCCATCGGACCACTCAGTAATGAATGGTGAACATAATATTGATAGCTTTATTGTATAGGAACTGTGGCCAGACGTCTTAACGGCCTGACTTCATCTGTTCACATCACATACTTGTCTTTGTTCCTAAACTTCCTAATCGTAATAACGTTGATGAGGTCATGAAAATGATAATTTAATAATTAAGATTAGTTTTGAAACCAATTTTTTATTGGCCGAGTTTATCTTTACCTACCCTTTGCATATACGAAGTAGCTTAAAGGTCATGCTGTAATACCTACCAATTATACGCCACAATGCAAGTAGGTCAAAATGAAAAGTAATTGCTACTACACATTTCGAATATTTAGATCTAAAATAATATTTAACATAATTTTATCGTTGTTTGAAAGACATACATATCTGTTTTAATATCAAGATGATCGTCTCGTGCTACAATGGGTGACATTAAAATGACTCCATAATAGAACCATTATAGCATAACACTCATTACCAAGAATACGGTATTAGGAGTGGACGACGTTTATGGGTTATGACTTTTACGATAGTAGTAAAATAGACGTTAAATGCTGCCATATTCCGTTGTATATCAATCAGAAAATTAGGAGAAATTAATTGTTCTCCTACCGATCAAACATTTAGTGCTTGACCTGGATTTTGTCCAGTGGCGGGAATTTCTATGACGTCACAATGTAAGGCATTATTGTTGGTATTGCTGAAGTGAAGTATACTTGGCAGCCGGAAGGTAATATTTATACGCCAGTCCATTGTTGACTGACGGAACTCAGACATAGGTACTACGATATTGCAATTGCAATTTATGACGTGGGTCTTGTATTAGATGAATGTTCAATCGCATTACATCGATGGTTGGCATTACTTTTCCTTACCTATTTATATCGACATCCAGTACAACACTTTTCCAATTTTTGTGATCACCATCAGCGAGAAAACGTCTACTACGAAGACCCCCATTTCCGCCCTATCTCAAACATTTACGACCATTTTGATAATATCGTCGTAGTCCAGTGAAAAGCCTTTTTGACCAACATGTGAATGTGAATTATCTCTTGCTTTGATTCACAGCACACGGTGCACCCAGCTAAGCCTGTGCGAAGGCCTCCCCAGGCTAAGGACACTTGGTGCACACCAGAATCCACGCCGGTACATACCACGTGAGTTGATGAGTGTAAAATATTCTTTAATTCCTTGTTTTTTGGAATAGAGACAACTAAAATTGTTCTTTCCCTTTGTGATATATTGGCTGCGTGACGTTTGGTTTACTTTACTGCCTTTATGTACGAAAGTCGATACCTACTGTAATAATAATTATCTGTTTCTTCTTTGCAGAATAACTAAAACGAGATCTAATATCGAAACCAAATCTGAGCTGAAGGATGTACAGAATAAAGAAAGGTAAGAAATTTCTACAATGTATTTAATTGCTTATCAGGTATACATATTACACATACATACATGTTACACTTATATGCTTTTAAATTAGATAGTAAGGCAAGTACAATGGGGTTGACGTATCCATATTATGCACAAACCCCTATAAAATAATGAACAAAAAACAATAGTTACCTAACAACTAAAAAACATACCTACCTAAGTCATAACAATTTTTGTAATAAATCGATAGTTCTAGTAATTTCAATTTGAGGTAATTGATCATTGGAGGAATTAGATATTGATGATTGCGTAATTTGTCGTCGAATAAAATCAAACTTGCTGTTAGTAAATCAAATATTGATGAAATATATGTAAGTAAGTAAATTATTATGTACTCCAACCAGTTACGTTCAGACGAATTTTATTTTATTATTGTCAACGCTACGATTAAAGAACAGCAAATTCAGCGAACTGATACCTAAATGTTCTTTTGATAATTTTCCAGGGATTTAAGTCAATTACAAAAAATTCAGCTCTTCTCGCCGAGTCCGCCACCTGCATACAAATCCGAGAATGATATAACACAAGCTGACACTGAACTAAAAGAGTTCAAACCGCCATCATCCAATGAGAATTCACCAGAGATGTAAGTGATTTACATAGGTTTTTTTTTATTTATATATCTGTGAAGTTCTACTAATCACAGGTAAATGAATGAAACGTACTCTTAAGTAAGTTCTGTATAAAAATAAATCCTTTTTTATTCAAGTCCACCGGTTTCGGAAGACAAACTCGATGCAATAATCGAAACACCACAAAGTCCAGTGCCGACGTCTCCATCTTATCACCAAAAATGTCAAAGATTTGCACAATGGTCGGCAATCCGCGATCTTTTTGTGCCGATAGACCCTCAAGGTAATTGATTCAAGCAACTTTAGTAAATTCTTTTTAAATTGCCATAATAGCTGGTCCCAGTTGGGCGCCAATTAAGCGCCGCGACCATTGCTTAAGAACTATTAGATAAGTTTATTCTCTCTCTAGTAGTCGACTCAGAAAATTGCTTAGGGGCGTGTCAAGTAATTGCGGTTGGTAGACAATTACAGCTACTATTTGTTTAAGCCGTAGAAACAATATTGACTGAGTAAATTTTAATTGCACCTTAGTCTGAATTGAAGAGAAAAATATACTAAATTAAGAACAAGCTTAGTCTTAAAGCCAATCCCACCAAGCGGTGAGATTGGTTCTGATGCATTTAAGATACGTTTTTTAAAATATGAATAGGCCAATATGCTAATAAATAAGTATATCGCAATGCTATTGTTTTTTATAGTTAATATCATTCAGTCATAGGTTTAAAATTTAGTCATCGGACCACCACGGATAGGGCCCAATAGAGCGGAGAACCTAACGGGTTACCGGGGCTCCGGCTCGAAGTGCAGGAGAAGGAACGGGGTGGTTTTAGTCAGTAAGAGTCTGACACTCCCTCCTGCCTCACTCAGGCGGGAGCAGTCATTCGATGATTTCCCCCTTAAAAAAAACTTTAAATTTGCAGTTGTAAAGTAAAAAAAATATTAAATTAAACATTAAGTGACCACCTATATATTCTTTTGTCTGATATCTCTCTGCAGGTCCCCACTACATCAGTTGGCTTTTCATAATGACGATCAGCTATAGTTACAACGCTTGGTGCATAGTTCTCCGCGCTACATTTCCCTACCAGACACCTAGCAACACCAGTATATGGATGGCTTGTGACTACGTGAGCGACGTCATGTACCTTCTGGATACGGTGTTTGTGAAACCAAGACTGATGTTTCTACATGAAGGATTCTGGGTCGATGACCTCACTGAGACACGGAAGAACTATAGGAAGAAGTCCCAATATAAGGTACTAAGGACATATAGCAAGAGGAAAATAATTTGCGTTAGCAGTAACTACCTAAAACTACTTCAGAATTGTATTTACTTATTACCTCTTTTTTCAGTTTGACGTGATATCTCTCCTCCCATTGGATTTATTATACCTATACTTTGGAACCAATAAAGTGATATTACGCTTTCCAAGATTGTTGAAATTGCAAACATTTTGGGAATTCCACCAGGCTATAGATAGGGTGCTTGCCTCTCCTTATGTTGTGAGTATACAGAGCTCAATAATGATATGAATCCTTTGCTAACCTGTATATACATAACATGCTGAAAACTTATTAATTTTATCTCTATCAACAGGTGCGAATCGGCAAAATGCTCTTCTACATCTTCTATCTGATTCATTTAAATGCGTGTGCATACTATGCAATGAGTGACTATATAGGACTGGGCAGTAATGGCTGGGTATACGACAACCAAGGGTCAGCCTACATTCGCTGTTTCTACTTCGCAACTAAAACTGCGACATCTATCGGCAAGAATCCGAAGCCTGAAAACACTATTGAGTATTTGTTCATGACTGCAGCCTGGTTAATGGGTGTCTTCGTGTTTGCTATTCTCATCGGACAGATCAGGGACATTATTGCTACTGCTACCAGAACAAGGGTGAGTCAAATACCAAAATATGGTAAAATAGAAAGGAATTAGTAACATTTGCACGCTATTTGGATAAAATCTAAAGTACTAATACCTCTTGTGTTCTTCAGACGGAGTACCGCAAGACACTGGACGGTAGCAGGAGTTATCTTCGTCGATTAAACATGCCAGTAACACTGCAGAGACGAGTAGCATCGTGGTACGACTACACTTGGAGTAAACAACGATGTTTTGGTGAGCCCATACAATTTATATTTCATCATCTTTACCACCATCACCATCTTCCTGCCCTTATCCCGATTTATTTATTTAAGTCAAAGCAATGTCTTCTTCCATTTGCCCTATCAAACGTTATCTAACTCTTAGTCCCTTGCTGAGCGCCAAATTGAATTAAAAAAAAGCAACATACCGGCCGAACGTATAACCTCCTCCTTTTTTGAAGTCGGTTAATTAAAGTAATGTGTTTTTTTTCAGATGAACCCAGAATTTTGAATTCTTTGCCATCTAATATGAAACGCGATGTGGCACTCGAAGTTCATATGACAACACTAAGCAAGGTAATATAGAAAGATCCTTTTTATTTCTCTTTATCTTCTGATCTTAATAAGTTTGATGTAGTCTACCTTCAGATCGTACCCTTTGAGATCAAACTTCTGTCCTCTACTCATTATGTTCTTATAGCTATCTTCGCCACTCTAAAACATTCTTACATAATTGATTACAGGTACAACTATTCCGCGACTGTTCAGATTCTCTGCTCCGTGACTTGGTTTTACAACTACGTCCTGTCTGTTTCCTCCCTGGAGACGTAGTCGTACGACGCGGTGAGGTCGGCCATCAGATGTACATCATTTCTTCTGGAGAGTGCTGCGTATGTAATAATTAATATTATAATAAATGTCGCAGAGTTTCAACCCTTTTTCCCTGGACATAAGGTATCAATAGCTACATTAATTTTCTTAGGTAAATAAAAAGCTCCGGCTCGAAGTGCAGGAGTAAAAACGCGGTGGTTCTTAGTCAGTAAGAGTCTGACACTATCCTGCCTCACCCAGACGGGAGAAACCATTCGATGATTTGCCCCTTAAAAAAAAGGGTGATAAAATGTAATTTTGATTTCAGGTAATGTCACAAGATGAGAAAGAAGTGTTAGCTACTCTGCAAGAGGGTTCTGTATTCGGAGAGATCAGTTTATTGGGCATTGACGGGTTACGACGACGTACTGCAACAGTTAGGTAAAAGGAATTAAAATTGGCACCCAACATGGGACCCGTAATTGCTTATTACTATTAACTATATAACTACCACAATTATCTTATAGAAGTTATATCACTAAGCTTAATATATATTTAAAAAATTCACTAAGTGCTTAGTGATTCTTTATTAATAACATACGAGTCCCATGTTGGGCGCCACATCACTTACAACACATTTGAGAATTAACTGTACTAAATAAAAATCTTAATTCACAATGTACGTTATATTACATTCCTCAGAGCGCGCGGCTACGCAAGTTTATTCGCTTTATCCAAAAGCGATCTCGACGCTGCACTAAAGCATCACAAGCAAGCCGCTCAAGTACTACGCATTAGAGCTGACCAGATTATTCGAGAAAATGCAGCCAGACAGGCTAAACAGCGTATGATAAGACTTGAAGCGAAGAAAAGTGTCAGTATACATGAAGATGAGAGTATCGTGAGAAGACGGCTGTCCAATACTTCCAGTGCTTCTAATTTGACTCTAGAGGGCGCTAGGAGGCAAAGGTCAGCTAGTGCAATGTCTAAGAGAAGACTGTCTGCTGTTTCTGAGAGTGGAGTTGTTGATCAGGTTTAGTAACAGATTATTTTACAGTATTTAGGCTGCCTGTCCATTGACACGGAGAGGGGCAGAGGAGCGGAGAAACGAAGAAATATTAAACAATAGGATTGCAATCTCCGCTTCGCTTTATTGGAAAGAGATTTGCGAGCTAGTTTAAAAATTCATACATTTTCGGGAGCAGCGCGTGGTAGCAGTGCGAGGTATCGGGGCGAAGGTATTGGATATTAGGATAGTATAGTATACCGCTGAAGTTTGACCAGTACGTTCGTGCGCTTTGTTTAATAACGAAGAGTTTTGAAAAATGGATGAAAAACTCATCTCTGGAGCCCCTCCCCGCGTCAATGGACAGTCAGCCAATTTTTCTACAAAAACAATGGAAAACCCAGAGATATGAAACTGAAACAACTGATTTAATAGTAAAACTTTCAAGTAACTTTTGTACATTCAGAGAGTGGATAATAGATGTCATGTAAAGATATTTTTTCGTAAAAATTAATAACAATTTTCACGTTTTCTTTCACGTCTCGGTCTCATTTTCTTCAAACATAATAATACAATGACTTCTGATTGTACTCTGCCTTTTGTTTTAAGATCCTCTTCTATACAGAACTTTTTGAAATAATTAAATCTTATGATTACAGGGCCAGGCAGCCACTTTAGCAGTAACTTGTGACAGAGCACGAACTCCAGTACCAACAATAGTCCTGTCGGGGGATTGAAGAAAAATCTAGAACTTTAAACTAAAAAGAGGGAATTAAGGAAAAGACTAAGTAGTGTGCACTTAAACTGAGGATGAAAACAGAGAAAGTTATTTGTAAGAAGAATTGAGTAACGAGTACTAGAGACGTTTTGATATTGAGGTATACGACATTAATCTAAGGTGTTATTAAAAGAAAATGTTTTACAAGGGCATAAGCCAAAATAACACAACAGAATAATGATGCTTCACCGCAGATTTGTATTGTATCTATTCGCAAATAAACCTATACTTATTGCAATTAGTCTACATAATTCCAATTCAAACTGTGAAACATAATAATATGTAGGTATTAAATCTATTGAGAAAGTATTGTATTGATGTTCTAGTCGATATACCTAAAGTAGATAAAATTCAAAGTATTAATGTAATATAATTAATGCATTTTTATTTTTATAAATATTATTACACAATTTACATTTACTATTCTAGTTCTATTAGTTAACAGTCTAGTCTCCATAGCCTAAAAAATGTAAGTACATACGTAGACAAAAATGTACCAAAAATATCGATATTTCCATGTCTATTAAGCTCAATACCTTTGTAGTTTGTAACTTTAAAAAACGTTATTTTTGTAAATATTTTATTTTCGACGTGCATACCTATATATTTCTTAGACTGTCTGTCTATTGATGTGTCAAAATAAAGGAAAAATAAATTAAAATGTAGTTTTAATTCCGACATTCCCATCACCTACTTATTAGGAACCCTAAAACTATTTGAGATAAAACTAGTAGCAAGAAATCGGATCGAACCTAACATGGAGTATCTCGTCACCTCGTGATTGAAATTCGCACCTGTAAAGTCAAATTGTACAGTGTAAACTTTAGTATCTAATTAATCACTATGACTAGTCAAGAAGTCATAAGAAAGATACGCGTTACCTATATAAATTAATTCATTTTCTTCCTTCATTCAATTACTATTCCATGGTTTGCCGTTTAGAGAAATGATACGACATGAATAGTGATTCGTCACTTTATCATTAATCAAGAAATAACCGTAGGTAGGTTTCTAATATACCTACCTACTATACCAAGTTGCTCTGGATGTTACATAGTAGTCAAGTCAGTGTTCTGGGAATGGGATCGACTTACGGATCTAACAAACTCTATTAGTAATTTTCGTTCTGCAAAATTACTCTCAGATCTACCTAACTATTTTTTTCCCCTATATAAGAACTAGTCCCCTATCTCCCTAATCCCCAAATCCCTAACAATCCTTAAATTCCTAACCCCCGAAAGACTGGCAACGTACTTGTAACGCCTCTGGTGTTTCGGGTGTCCATGGGCGGCACCGATTGTTAACATGAGGTGATCCGTCAGCTCGTTTACTAGTTTATCCCCATAAAAGAAAGAATTAATTCCTAATGCATTTTAACAGAATGTTAGTGTGACACACATCCGAATTTTGTCTATTTGAAGTCAAAATGGGGTGATACCTCCCCCCACCCACCAATTTTCATATTGCTCCGAACCAATCATTAAGTTAAAACGCCAATCAACGCGACAACGATTAGCTCTATTATGTTTAGCTTGCGTGCATCAAACGCGGTGACAAGAAATACTTTTGCCAACTTACAATATCACCTGTGCCAGGGAATTTTCAACACTAAACATAAGCAATGTGGGTTATTTTGACTGCAACAGTGAAATTTGTAAAGAGTTAATAGAAAGTTACGACAGTCGGTGCAGTTTTTCAGTATTGTTCGTTTTTTTTTCTTTGTGTTGCGAGAATTTAATCAGCGTCAGCTATGATAGTAGGTTGAGGTGGATCGATAGTAATCCACCTATTTATGTACGTAGACAGTAGGTATCGTGGCCATCAGTTATTCAATCGATACTTTACTTAAACTTTTAACGAGAATTCAAAACGATTTTTCAGGATAACTTTGAATAAGTAGGTATGTCAAAGAATAAACCAACGTTTATCAATTTTGAATTTAAAATTAGTTTCGATACGTGATCTAGGCCATTCACAGAGAAAAGGTATGTACACATCCGGGTACAGGATTCTGTTTTTGTCAAGTATACGACCGTTGTATGGTATTGAGTGTCACTTTTCCTCATTCCAAATTGTATCATCAATCTCAGTATGCATACAGTGATCAAAGATTTATTAGCTACCTACGCATACACCTACCTTTTTTTTTAAGCGGGGAAAATCATCGAATGACTCCTCCCGCCTGGGTGAGGCGGGAGGGAGTGTCAGACTCTTACTGACTAAAAACCACCCCGTTACTTCTCCTGCACGTCGAGCCGGAGCCCCGGTTAGCCGTTAGGTTCTCCGCGCCACGCATACACCTAGGTACCTAAATCTTATCTACCTAAATAGTTGAATACTCACTACACTAAAATCAAAATAAGATAAGTACATCAAAATAAGTACATCGACTAACTTAACCGACATAAATCACCCATGTCTCAATATTTTCCTATTCCTGCATAATTTTATTTATCCGAATCGAAAGTTTTACAAAAGAAAATTTCGTAGCTAACTGATTACAGGCTTCATTATTGACGTTGCGTGCTCTCACTCATTTCTTTATTGAAATAAACACAGCGAGGTACCTCGTAATATAGGAAAAAATAAACAGAGACCTCATTTTAGGAAAACTTCACAAATTACGTTTTCATTGTTCAACTGAAACGGGGAGTTTAAAAGGTTAAGTAAAAGTTACCTATACAATATTTAATTTAGATCAGTTTTAGATTGTGCTACGAGCTGTCGGTATAAACTTATTTTACTTAATAGGCTTAATTTTACATACCTTTAGACGACACATGATTATTTTAAGTTACATTTACTTAATTTTAGTTTAGGTACCTTTTTTTCAACGGATTAGGATAGGGAACAAGTAAATCCCAAGTATTAAGAGAATAAGGACATAGATAGGTATAAAGGTCTACGTCTTTGCAGGTCTTTTGATAGAAACAGCCAGCACAAAGTTTGAGTTCAACCAACCCATAATCAACTTCATGATTTTGCAATTTGAAAATACATACAGAGCAAAAACCAATAGGTTCCCAAATTATATACAAGAACAATATCTTTCTAACATCTCGTCGTACACAAGCTCCAAAGATACAACAAATTTCACTAAAAAACACCTACGACAGAATTAAATAATTTGCGTATAAACGAACGTCAGGACGCGTTTACGAATCTAACAAAAATAAGCAGTTTTTCGGTGGTTTTTGCGGCAAAATAATATAGAATCAAATGTAACTAAAAATGACCACAGATAGATTACTTCTTAATCTTCAAATGGTAGTAGTTTTTTATTTGATAATTTTGGTTTATAATATTGTAAAAAATAATTTCTGTTGCCTCTTCACACAAAATTGACGAAATCGTGCTGACTTGAGGATCATTTTTCTTTTATTTAATAACACAAATATAATTATTTAAAAATATTTTACGTAAGCAGATATGTCCAACTCAAAAAGGTAGAAAAAAAATCTATCAAAATGTTACAAATAGGCTGAAAACAAAAGTAAAATCGAATCTTATTTTTACACATTATTAGCCGTAACGAAAGATACTTATTGGATTGAAATAAGGGTTATTTTCCTGGTCACTAGACTTGATTTATTGCACAAAAATTTGTAATGAAATTTTAGTTTGCGCTCGGGCGCCGTCGTGAGTGGACACTGTGTCGCTTGTAAGCAGCTCCTCGTTTACGAAAATATCGCTGTACGAACACAAAATATTTGCCCTACCAAACTTGATACTTCACGCATTCTGCACCGACTACAGACAACCAAGGTAAGATTTTATACACAGTTTCATATACTTATAGGAATATAGATTTCATATTTAGTTTTGGACTTGATGGAGTGACCTGCAGGTGTACTTCGAAGACTGCTACTGGAACTAATAGACGAGTGGAGCTAGGTGTGCCGAGTTTGGGCTCGTTTTGTTAGTTATGTTGAGACCTTACCTCCGGACTTGATGGAGTGACCTGCAGGTGTACTTCGAAGACTGCTACTGGAACTAATAGACGAGTGGAGCTAGGTGTGCCGAGTTTGGGCTCGTTTTGTTAGTTATGTTGAGACCTTACCTCCGGACTTGATGGAGTGACCTGCAGGTGTACTTCGAAGACTGCTACTGGAACTAATAGACGAGTGGAGCTAGGTGTGCCGAGTTTGGGCTCGTTTTGTTAGTTATGTTGAGACCTTACCTCCGGACTTGATGGAGTGACCTGCAGGTGTACTTCGAAGACTGCTACTGGAACTAATAGACGAGTGGAGCTAGGTGTGCCGAGTTTGGGCTCGTTTTGTTAGTTATGTTGAGACCTTACCTCCGGACTTGATGGAGTGACCTGCAGGTGTACTTCGAAGACTGCTACTGGAACTAATAGACGAGTGGAGCTAGGTGTGCCGAGTTTGGGCTCGTTTTGTTAGTTATGTTGAGACCTTACCTCCGGACTTGATGGAGTGACCTGCAGGTGTACTTCGAAGACTGCTACTGGAACTAATAGACGAGTGGAGCTAGGTGTGCCGAGTTTGGGCTCGTTTTGTTAGTTATGTTGAGACCTTACCTCCGGACTTGATGGAGTGACCTGCAGGTGTACTTCGAAGACTGCTACTGGAACTAATAGACGAGTGGAGCTAGGTGTGCCGAGTTTGGGCTCGTTTTGTTAGTTATGTTGAGACCTTACCTCCGGACTTGATGGAGTGACCTGCAGGTGTACTTCGAAGACTGCTACTGGAACTAATAGACGAGTGGAGCTAGGTGTGCCGAGTTTGGGCTCGTTTTGTTAGTTATGTTGAGACCTTACCTCCGGACTTGATGGAGTGACCTGCAGGTGTACTTCGAAGACTGCTACTGGAACTAATAGACGAGTGGAGCTAGGTGTGCCGAGTTTGGGCTCGTTTTGTTAGTTATGTTGAGACCTTACCTCCGGACTTGATGGAGTGACCTGCAGGTGTACTTCGAAGACTGCTACTGGAACTAATA